ATAAAGCTTATGTCCTACGTGCAATATTCGTTAAGATGTTCTGGAAATCTTACTCGTCTTCCAGAACGCGTTGTTTTAGGTCTATCCATCGACGTTGACGAAGTATCAAGTTGTGTGTCGGTTTTCGTGTAGGGTACTACGAGCGTAATAGCTGTGTCGTTTGCTTGTACCAAAGGAAAATCGACGTAGCTAGGGTTTCCTTCTAGGTACGCTGCTTTCAGTCGATCGATACTGATGCTATCGTTCGTACCGTTCTTATCGACTACATAGTACTTAGGTTCGCGTTGAAGAACTTTGAAGGGTCCTTCGTATGCTGATTCGAGGGGTCGTCGATGTGAGTCTCGACGAACCAAGACGTGTGTACTATGTCGTAATTCGGGTTGAACGAAAACATCAGTTGATTGAGGTCGAGTGTGAGCAGGTTTAACTGAACGCATAGCGTTTGTAAGCCTACTCGTGTAAGAGTTTAGATCCATGTTCAATGAAGAAGCTGAATGATCCACGAATTCTCCTGGGAGTCGAAGTGTCGTTCCGTAAACGAGTTGAGATGCCGTGTATCCAATGTCAGCTTTCACTGCATTGCGGATACCTAGTAAGACGAGTGGAAGAGCGTCTGTCCACTGTGAAAGGTTTGCAGATGATAATGAAGCCTTTAATTGTCGATGAAAACGTTCTACCAACCCGTTTGCTTGTGGGTGGTAGGCGGTCGTTCGGAAGCGCGTGATTCCTAAAAGTGAGTTGAGACAACGGAAAAGTCCAGATTCGAATTGGCGTCCGCGGTCTGTAGTGATCGTGGAAGGGCAGCCAAAATTCGCTACCCATCGTTTGACAAAAGCGCGAGCCACGGTTTCAGCAGTAATGTCCTTAATCGGTACTGCTTCTGGCCATCGAGTGAAACGGTCTACGCATGTTAAGAGATGTGAGTATCCGTTTGAGTCGGGTAAGGGTCCTACCAAATCTAGATGGACGTGGTCGAAACGAGCGTCAGGGGTTTTGAAAGAGCCTAAGGGACATTTGTTGTGTCTTACGACCTTAGATTTCTGACAGCTTACACAGGAGCGTGCCCACTCCTTCACGTCTTTATTCATGCCAGGCCAACAAAAGCGTTCGGCTATAAGTTCGATTGTTGCGTGAGCACCTGGATGAGAAAGATTGTGCAACGTATTGAAGACGTTGCGTCGATAGTGTTTTGGTACAATTGGACGATCCCTACCCGTAGATGTGTCACAAAGTAAGGTTTCCTTACCTGTTCCCATCTGCCTAATACTTAGTTTTAGAGTTGTCGAGGATAACTCATGCTGAAGATCAATGTCTTCTTTATGAAGCTTAGCGAGTTTAAGAAGGTCGATTCTTTGGAAACTGTTCAAGGAATTTATTCGAGACAAGGCGTCTGCGACTACATTGTTTTCTCCAGAAATGTGTTGTATGTCTGAAGTAAACTGCGAAATGTGGTCGAGTTGTCGATACTCTCGCGGTGAGTACTTGTCTGAAGATGAACTTAAAGAGAAGGTAAGAGGTTTGTGATCGGTAAAAAGCGTGAATTCTCTTCCTTCGATGGAATGTTGGAAATGCCGTACAGCACAATACATAGCTAGGAGTTCCCTACCGAAATTCCTGTACCTAGATTCCGCGTCTAGCAACCGTCTCGAGAAAGATCCTAAGGGTTGCCACGAGTTGTTAACCCATTGTCGTAAGACTGCTCCGATTGCTGAGTCGGATGCGTCTACGGCGATACTAATGAGCGCCTGACTGTCCTGAAAAGCAAGCAAGGTTGCTTTAGCGATGTGTTCCTTAACTGTGGAGAATGCTTTACGGACTATGTCGTCTAAACTAATTGATTTCGCATTTCCACGAAGCTGATCAGTTAACGGTTTCATAAGGGATGCGCATTTGGGTATGAACCATCTATAGAAACTTACAAGTCCGTTAAAAGTTCGAAAGTGCTTTATCGTGGTCGGTTCTGGGTAATCCAGAATGGCCGCCACTTTTCTCCTAAGGGGTCGGATGCCTTGGGCATCAATGGTGTGTCCTAGGAAGTCTAAGGAGTTTGTCCCGATTTGGCATTTCTGTATGTTGACAGTAATGCCATGCCTTTGGAGCCGATCGAAAACAATGTCCAGATGCTTGAGATGCGATTCTCTGTCCGGACTTGCTATTAGACAGTCATCAACATACGCATGTACGAAGTTGAGACCTCGGAAGACGTCGTCTATAAACCTTTGGAAGGTTTGAGCCGCATTTCTTAAACCAAAAGGCATTCGTATAAATTCGTAAAGACCGAAGGGAATGATGATGGCGGTTTTAAGAATGTCGTCAGGTGCCATCGGGATTTGGTTATAAGCCTTAACCAAGTCGATTTTCGAAAAGACAGTTGTACCTTTCAAGGTAGCTGTCAAATCGTGAATATGAGGCAGCGGGTAACGATCGGGAATGGTTTTAGCATTCAGACGCCGATAATCACCAGTTGGCCGCCAATCATTGCTGTCCTTTTTAGGGACCATGTGCAATGGGGATGACCATGGACTATTCGATGGTCGAATTATCCGTAGGTCCATCATGTGGTCGAATTCGTTTTTAGCTAACCTAAGCTTCTCAGGAGCAAGTCTTCGAGCTTTCGAAAATACAGGTGGTCCTGTAGTCGTGATGTGATGTGTAACATTGCTGGTTACACAGGGCAATTTCGATTGCGATTGGTATATCCCGGGGTATTTGTCGAGTACTGATTGGTACAAGGGGTCTATGGTGTGCTTAATCGTGACTGGGGATATCCTGCAACCAGAACAAAGAGTTACGCTAACAGATAACTTAGTGTTTCCGTCTATTAACTTTCGTGAGCGTGTGTCGATGAGTAGATTGTGGTGTTATAACAGATCGATACCAATGATTGGCATAGAGACATCTGCAACCACGAAAATCCAGTGTATGGGTTTGCGTAAACCCACGTTAATGTAGACGTACCTTTTACCGTAAGTAGCGATCGGTTTTCCGTTTGCCACCTGTAAACTTAAAACAGACTCGCGAAGTCTGTCGTCGGGATTTGCTGGAAGAACGCTAACTCCTGCGCCAGTGTCGACGAGGTAGCGAACTTTCGTTGTCACATCCGTGACGTATAACAGACGGCTGTGTTCGCCGGCTACGGTTGCCGTTAACGCGTGTCGGCTGGGAAGTTTCCCGAAATCTTATTCGTGTCAGTCGATTTTGAGGTCGGATAATTGCAAGGTTTCCTGCAGTTTCTGGAAAACTTACCGTACTGGTTATGATACCAGCACCAGTCGTGATTGTCTGTCTCTCGTGGTCGAGAGCCAGATCGCTTACGTGAGACGCTTCTACGCGGGGTTTTTGACCGACTACGGTCATTGCGAATTCTAAGATATCGTGTAAGCGTGTGACATAGTTCGGCCATGTCAGTCGAGGTCGATTGGGGTTTTTCCTTGACGAAAAAAACCTCGGCCTTAGAAGATCTAGTGATTTCCAAGATTCGATCGGCAGATGCAGCTAGTTCATCTATGGCATTGTTTTGAAATGAAACAAGCACTGCCTGCACCTGTTGAGGGAGTTTAGACAAGAAAAGTTGTCTGAATAGGTCATAATCGAAAGTTCGTTGGCCAATGACTTCTCTCATTCTAAACAACATGTCCGTCGCAGAACCATGTTGCAAGTCGATATTGTTAAGGAGTTGGTCTAACCGTTGTCGATCAGTTAGGTCTCCTCATTTTAAAATCGATAGCTTAAGCGTTTTGTAAGGTTGGGGAACATCACTAGTAAACATACTAGGTGTTACGTACCTGTTAAACTCGCACGGTAACGCCTTAACTACGGCGAGGAAACGTGTGCGCGAGTCCGTGATTCCGTGCATGCAAAAATCGGCTTCTGCATAGCAGAACCAGGACTCGATATTGTCGGGCCAAAATGGTGTTAACTGAATAGAAATAGGGGGAATAGACTTAAACTTAAGAACCTTAGGAGAGTGTTCCGTCATTGTAATATAGATAACGAAAAATGTCTAATTAAAATATATCCGAGAAAAAAAATTCGCGAAAAAAAGTATATCACAATATATAAAATTCAAATATAAAATAACAATGAATAATAATATTCCAAAATGGAACAGACTCACAGTATATTGACTTGGTGTACCAAATCACGTCGGGTTCACCAATGATGATGCAACGGATGTTCTAGTTTTACAACTAGCTACCAGTAGCACTTTTTATATTCGATCGTTCCCAGTCAGATAGAAATCAGAAGTCAGACGAGAAGAGGCAGGAAAGGTATATTTGATTCGTTACCAATATATCGAGGACCTTTTCTATAAACTGGCTATAGAAACGTAGGAGCTGTGTCCCATGCCGAGTTGAAACGTGATCTGGTACGGATGCATGACCGAAAGCCTTCAGCTAAACAAATCTACTTAAACAACGTGGTCAGCATCCAATGTCGAACACTTAATGAGCTATTGATTTAGGGGAATTATTTACAGCTACACTGTTAATAAGAGTGCTAAGAAGAAAATTTTGCTAATCAGCTTGATTCGGGATTTCTTCGTATTCGTAGAAAAATTAGACGACATAAGAGGCCTACTTGGTCGGACAGTTCATGTGTTAACTGTTAGAGGTCGAACTTATTGACTCAGGGTGATGGAATATCACATTTTAAATGGGGAAGTTTCTTCTGTTAACTGACGGACCATCGTTTCATGAAGCCCTTGAAGTTGATCTAGGAAAATTCCCGTAATTGAGAGAGCTAAAACCTTTTACAAGATTCATAATAGCGGATAATAAAGGTTTATTCGTAGATTTCTGACGCTATTCCTAATTCCTTAATTTAAAGAATAGGTGATCTAGAGTGTAATTTGGATACCAAGTCATAGCCCATAAATTAATATTTTCAAATTGAGTACTGAAACAGGGTAGCATGAAAATTTGGTATTTTTGGACTACAATTGTTTCGCATAATTTTCATCCTTCTCTGAAAAGACCTTAATTTTTTCGCACTGCTGCGCGATATTACGTTCGACCTTGGGCCTGACCCTAAAGGCCATTGGGACTTTTCACTGGCATACCTTTGGATGCTCTTAGTTTTATAAATACTTCCACTTACAAGTTGCCTTTCCAATGTCTAACGACGTAGTGGTTTCCAAAGTTGTTCTACAGGAACAGCGTGGAAATTTTTTGTTATCTGATGTAAAGCAAGAACCACGCGATGCCACCCCAACCCCGTCAACTTGTTCTGACAATTCACATGTTCCCGTAAGTTTTCTCTGACAGCTTAACCTAGTTACGTTCATCCATGTATTAGTTTGAAAAACAAGGCATAACATGCTTTAAAACTTTAAAGTGAATCTACAGCTAGTAAATTATTATCCATTACTTAAAATGCTCGAGCATTTTGATGTAACAGATCTGTCACTGACACTGAAGAAAAAAATCACATTTCTGTCAGTGCAAACTTTTAGGGTTTCACTAGTCATCCTTAAACATCCGGTCTGTTTTTTTTTGTGATTAATACTTGGAAGCTGTGTCGAAATTACGACACCATATTCAGGCAACTATTCATCTCACCCTACTTTTCAAGCTTATCTGTATTCTAGCTACATGTACACAATAAATGTACCACGCAGTTCTCTGTGGACAGATTTATCGAGTAGTTCCAGCGGAAACACTAGTTGTTTTCTGGTTGATAGTGTTATAAGTTTTAGTCTTATTGGTTTTCTCCCTTAGTTTTACATTGCAAATATCTGGTTGGTTCTAGACCTTACACCTGTTGTAGGTGCCCTGGTTTAAAACTCTTCACGCCACTCGATTCGTTTTAGTTCCTTGTCATTTATCACTTTTCTACAGTATCTTTTCGACATACTTAAGTATTTACCATCTTGCCCCGTGCCGTTGCAAAGCGTCAAAACTCACATCCTAGTCTTACAATGTCTGATGTTTTTCTGTCACTAGTATTAACGTTGAATGAAAATTATTTCGACAAAGCAGCTTTCTTCGACACTACTACGGCCAACTATACGTTATATATATATATATATATATATATATATATATATATATATATATATACGTTATATCGCCCCCAAATGCCCTGGTACAGCGGAGAGTGGGAAGAGTACGCTCTCGAAATGCTCTCACATGGCCACGCGAATATATAGCCTCTGCGAGGGAAGTCCTACTCACTGCCTTCTCGTGGTGGGCGTGTTGTTCACGAAAGTGAGAGGACGAAAAGCGAATGTCCGGCGCTTTAACCGGGTTGGTGGATGTGAAGTGTCCACCTAGGGGAGTTGGAAAACCCTGATTCCAATCCAATGATGCACATGGGCTCCAGGATCATGATGGAACGAATGGCGTATGAACCAGCTGTTGGTCACCGGCTACCATGAGACTGGATCTCCTCACGATGCTCCACTGCCTTGTGGGTTAGACCTCTAGGTCAAAGGCTCCGGGTGTGGCCCCCTAAGAAAACCACTTGCTTCAGTTTGGGCACCTGGGGAGTATCACAGCCCTCACACAAATCGAATGAGATTTGTGAGGCGCATATTTATCTGGTGCTTTTTGTACCAATATTTGTGTTTAAATAAATAAATAAATACGTTATATTATCTTCTGTTTGATTCCTATTATAAAAGAACAACTCTGGCATTAGCTATTATATGAAATGTGGAGTATATAATTATGTTTTATCTTTTTCTATGGGTGTACACTGTACTCGTCGATTTCAAGTCGATACTTGTTGTCACGTTGAAAACCCCTATAATGTTTCTATTGGCAGTTATGACAAACGTTTCTACATTTGCGCACCAGGTTGTAAGCTACGACTGCTCAAGGGTTGACAGTACTACTCGGTTCTCCATGCCATGGTAGGTAAAGTTGGTTTTGAACTTATTATGCAGTGGTAAGTCAACCATCAAATTCACTAAATCACGGTTTTGAAGCAAATATTTGACGTGTAGAGATTTAACCGCATCTAGAATCGGTATTCAGTAAGATTGGTGTCTTCACTGCTATCGGAAATTTGTAAATTTTATTGAGGGAGAATATATTCTGGGAGTAGTCTATTCAATTTAACTGTTTTAACATTGTGAAGTACTAGAGCAATTTAAAGTTACAAGTTTAGACCATAGATTGCTTTATGAAATTTATTTGATTTTAAATAACTTCTTACACAATATTATGCATATACGTATATCCCAAACATCCATTGAGAATGCTTCTTTTGAATATTCTTTCCATATGGTCGAGACATCCCTAGTTTTCCTGAATTGAGTGTTAATTTATTTCTTTCCCCAAAATAGTGTATGCGTTTGCTAATCTCATACACCCTAACCATCTAACTAAGTATCAATTATCAACGTAAATATTTGTTATTTCTAGATTACTACAGCTGTTTATGAGGTCACCCGACCAACCAATCAAATCCAACTGGGAGCTACATTTAATTTCATATCCCCACCACCTTATTTCTCAGCAGCTGAAAATTTAAATATTCCAGGAACACATCCTCTTACTTGGCCAAATATTTGCCAACAACAGATATCTGGAACATCCAATGAACCTTTAGTGTTGCACAATGTATCGACCTTGCAAAATTGTTCTCCTACCATTACTACTGTCAGTACTATAACTCCTGTTCTTTTATCCGGCATAGTTCCTTCATATCCACCACAACAGGTATTTATATGAGTATAAAGCATTGAATATAATGTTTATTACTATTTTTCAGTCCTACTGGTATTCACGAGCTTAACATAGAGTTGAAATAGTCACAGTATTCATCAAAGATCACCTAGTTACTACACATCGTTCTCGAGAACTATCTTATAGTAAAACTATATTTCTTCGGAAAGGGTATACCGAAAATCTGTTGATATTTGCCCATGGGCATTTAGTACACTTAAACAAGTATTAGTAGTAAAACCTTTCTTGACATTTTATTGACCAGGTTGGTGCTATAATACTGATAAAAACGTTAATCCAGTGTTTTTAGAGCTTTTACTAATCGGGTCGAATAATGACAATTGATGACTTTCTAGTTTTCATAGCAGGTAAATTTTTCTCTTAAATTTTCTTAGTCGTTAACTAGTTGTAGCAACCCTATTTTGTATATCCTCGAACGATTCATTAGCCTGTTGAAAGCCGTTAAGTCGTGTAAACTATTCTTGGTTTTTCTATTGCATAGTCTTATATTGTATACACGTGAATGCCTAACTAGACGGTTAAATAATGTGTATTGTGTTAGTTTCTCGTGCCAACTATGGATGTACACATTTTTTGCCCTGTTTCGAATCTTCTGTTATGGTGTTTTTCTGGTTGCTCTCTTTCGCCTTCAGGTAATTGTATGAAATGTATTTTTTTATAAACTGCAATTGATTCGATTTTAAGCTGTCTGGTCCAAAATGATATGGGCGTTAGGGTCACTGAACGTTGCGAAACTATGTAAAACTACAGCTTGTGGGATCAGATCAAAATCTTAAGAAACACCTCTATTTAAGCATTGTCTTCTCATATTCTGTGATTTGAAGCTTGGATTGCATTATCGATCCACTGAGTTGTAACGAGATCATTCCCCTGACTAAATTATTTATTTAAACACAGGTTTCATTGTGTTCTCAGCGATTTTTTTTCAGAATTGTCTTAATATTACAACAGTTATGATACGTGATGCCTTTTACATTCGTTTTTGGTGCGTCGACTCGATATTTTTAACAAGAATAGTTCTATAACATGACCAAAAGTTATAATGTTCATCTATCAAAGTACAGTTGCTATTTGGAAGAGATTATTTGCTCCCATGAATATGAGACTGCACAAGTGAATACTTACACGTTTACCTCAAAATCTACTTCTGGTCAATGTATGTACTGGATATTCTGCAGGATTCCTCACCAGCTTTTAGTTTAACCTACTCTTATTTATTTATTTGAATTTTGTAGACGTTTATTCAAGTGTTTTAATGCTATAAACAAGTGAAAGGATTCTAATAAGTTTATGTTCGTGCTCAACTTTATTCTTATTTCATTCTATTGCTACCTATAATCAATTCAAATTAAATTGTCCAGTAGCCTTGTTCAGGATTATATGAGTTACAGTTTGTTACAAAATAAAGTTTGAGTCTAACACTATTCTTCAACAATTGAGCAGTTATTGAATGATAAAAGCACCAGATTTCTAGCTGTTTGGTTCTAGGTTTGAACTATACCTACTTCACTTTGGAAAGTCAGGTATTATCACTAGGATGAAGACGAACGACTTAGCTCAAAGCTGTGCATAAACCTATAGTTTGTGAGTCACATCAAATGAAAACAATGATTGTTAATAACTTACGTTAATAAAAGTCGAATGAATTTCGCACTGGAAAACCCAAAATAAAACAAAGTAACTATACAGCATTATTAACAAATAACGTTATTTTAAGTGTATTTGAATCCCAAATGAATGAAGTTGAGTTTCATTAATGATCAAAATCCCCAATGAAGCACGCAAAAATACTAACCGAAAGGTATAATTTGTGTTTAATTCATTTCACCTGATGGATTCCTCATATAATATATTAGGTATTTTGGGACTTTACCATAGCATAGCAATAAGTATTGCTTGGATTTATTCAACTTTGTCATTGTTCTTATATGTATATATTTTTTTGCTTTCGGTAGTTCCATCAAAATCAACCATTACCTAATCCTATACACATTCAAAACTCTTCATCTAGTGCACTTGTAGGCACTCGTTTTCATTTTCCATTGAACGAGACCATTAATTCGTCATATATAGGTAACAATGCGTTTTATGGATTTTTACCTGGCAGCGGGAATCCTTCGATATTGCAATCACCTGGACCAACTGTTTGCAATGCATTTAACCATACTTCTGTTCATCCACTGTATCATAATAACAAATATCTCCTAGCTCCTCAGCCTTCTTCGACAATTTCAGCTTCAACTGTCCCACAACCAAGTTATCTACCATCCAATCTACCAATTCATGTTCAACCATCAATGGTAACACTGAACCCAATTATTGAATCAACTGATAACCTTAACAGAATAATCTCTAATTCCTTCAGTATCGAAAACCGCACTCATGAAAATAATAATAATACCGTTTCACAATCAGTTATTCATCCTAACTTTGGTATCTCTTGTACAAATCATCTTTCAAACAAGAATTATATTCCTAGGGAACTTACTTATCCTTCATTTGGATCGCATCAAAATTTTCTTAATCAAGTAGGTTAACTTGTGCTGAAATTTATTTTTTCTCTATTATCACCAAATACTTGAATATGACGTTATGTTATAACTTGTAGCAGAGTGGATGCCCAGTTAATGTATGACGTGATAGCATAATGAAAAACCCATTTGCTGATAATATCATCCAAATAAAAATATAACCAAATAAAGATAACTGATTTCTGTTAATTATACATTTAGTCTCATTCATTAACATCAGCGCCATCAGTTAATTGTGATATAAGTCATTGCTCCAATATTCCTAACATCAATTCTTGTTGGGCAGTAGTGAACAAACTTCAGTAAATTCAGAGGTACAGAGTTTAGTTCTTGACTAAAAGATTTATTCGATTCACCGTGAGAAAAAAAAGAAAAACTAATTAGATGTACGGATATAGTGTATCAATCCATTTATATCACTGAGAACAAGGTGACAAATAAACATTACTAAATTGTCAATAAGCCAACATAAAAAGAAGTGACCAGTGGAGTTTAACCAAGTCTGTTGTATAGATATTAACTCTCTGAAGACAATGGATGAACGGTTGCTCAAACATCGTGGATTGGTTGAAGTTAGACATTAACATCGTTGGATGCCGGCTCAGTGGTCTATTGGTTAAGTGCTCTGGTGCGAGACTGGTAGGTCCTGGGTTCGAATCTCGTCAGTGCGGTATTGTGGATGCTCACTGCTGAGGAGTCCCACAGTAGGACGAAACGGCCTTCCAGTGCTTCCAGGTTTTCCACGGTGGTCTAGCTTCAATTGATTCATGATTTCAACTAAGAAAAAGAAACATTGGTACCAACAATAAAAAACGAACTAGAGAGTGTATAAACAAATTTCTTTTATGAAAAACCATGTGTTTAATTTACAATTGTACAAAATTCATTATATAATAGTAAACTTTACAAATTGTTTTACACGAAATCTAAATAACAAAATCTATTCATAATAATAAATCATCTTGTCAATTGAATATAAAAGAAAGTGATTAGATTCTCATTTACTAGTCATCCAATTACTACTTATGATATGTTCATGATAAATTATGTTTTCTGATTTCACTAAACTATTAGGTAATTTTGAACTTGCTACATTTTGCCCCCAAATGCCCTGGTATGACCGAGAGTGGGGAGAGTACGCTCTCTCTTAAAATGCTCTCACATTGCTACGCGTATATAGCCTCTGACAGGGAAGTCCTACTCACTGCCTTCTCGTGGCATTACGATTGTTTGCGAATTGAGAGGACGAAAAGCGAATATCCGGTGCTTTAACTGAGTTGGTGGACACGGAAGTTCACCTAGGGGAGTTGGAAAACCCTGATTCCAAACCAATGGTGCACATGGGCTGGCTCCAGTATCCTGATGAAACAAATCGCGTATGAATCGATCGTTGATCACCGGCTACCATGGGACTGTATCTCCTCACGATCCTCCACTGCCTTGTGGATCAGACCTTTATGTCGAAGCCTCCGGGTGTGGCCCCTTAAGAAAACTACCTGCTTCAGTTTGGGCACCTGAGCAGTATCTCAGCCCTCACACAATTAAATGAAATGACAATTTTTGTGTGGCGTATATATATCTGGTGCCCCTTTGTACCAATATTTATGTGTTTAAATAAATAAATAAATAAATTTCTCGACATCAGGTACCAATATTTATGTACAAGTCGAAACATGCTAAATTATAAATATCACCTAGGGAGGTATGAAGAGTATTTTTTTGTGTGACTGATTGTCATTCTTCGACTACGAACATTCCAGTAGTATTTTCATCTTTCAATGTACATAACAAAATATGATTCGTTTCACCGAGTACACAAATTAACACTTAGTTACAGGTTTATTAATTATTACGAGTTTAACATGTTTAATCACTACATACTTCAACTCTGTTCTTATCTTTGACTAAATTGTTAGGCACTTTAGTCAGATGACTTATTTACCAAGCATAAGTTTATTTATTCAGTCTTGAGATTGATTTATTTGTTGTTTATTTATTGTTTATTCGTTTTATCTTTTCTGCGTATAGTCGACAATACGCAAGAGTAGTTCTATGGAACCTGTCAATAATACCAATCAAATACAGTCAACTACATCAGGAGTAGTAGCAACAACAGTACAGACAGTCTCAACGACAACTAGTGTTCCTGTTTTAGATAAACAAATTCCTGTTACAGTATGTTCTACCTCTGCTACAACTATTACTACTACTACTACCGCTACCGCTTCCATTCCAATCTCTTCCATTATTGACAATAATTTTGATTCAATGTTCGAAAGTTCTTTCGATGGAGTTCTATGGGGTCGTATATGCCGTCGTGCAGATGGTGATTTAATGCTTCCTGGATTAGGTAGACTTTGTACATTTAAAAGTCCAAATTCAGTGTTAAGACAAATTTGTCAAATGACTAAAGCAGAAGATAGTCTTGCATTACAAGTGAGTCATTCTAGTTTCAAATTACTCATATTTGTATGACTAAGAAAAAAAGAATACTCCTCAATCTCGATAAATGATGTGATATGTAGTTGATCCTTATCATGGAATTACTAAGCTTATGTTCAATAATAACAGCACAAATCATTTTTATGAAATCCCATATATATTGATTAAGGTTAAGTTTGCGGTTACGGATAGTCAACACCAATATTATTAGCATTACCTTATTCATATTGACATGGTAATAGTTAGTACGTGACTTTTCACTCTTGCTATTATTATCACTTTGCAAACGTGTTATTATTATTCACAAACGCTACATAATTCTTATAGGTAATTATCTTGAATCCCAATATCCTCTCATACATACCTTTCCTAAGATTTTAGTCTTTCTTTTTATCATCGCTATTACATTATTTTGCTCTCTTTTGTGATCTTCATCTCGTCGTGTTAATTATGGTTCGATAATTTGAGCCAACATACATCTGTGCTATGCTCTATGCTGAAGACATCTGCCTATATATATATGGTAATGTCTATTGATGTAAAAATTTCCTTATCAAGAACCACCTTTTTTTCTCTCGTTGCAACATTAAAAAATGTTACGGTTAGTTTGTATTTCAACAGTGTGTTAGTGTATTTTTCTTATGTTATATTTGGCGACAATAAGTTTATCGACTACTGTAAAACCATTCCAAGTTCATAATCAATGATATTTGTCGAATACTTTGTCTTTACAATTGATCTAGTCAGTTTCCATGCGATAAACCTTTAATTATAGGATCTTTCTCTTTTCAGTGACATTTTTACGGGTATCACTTGTTCCGTTCACTATTATTTTTATTATTACATAGAAAATTTATCGTTGCATAGCTATATTCCATTGCACTGAGTAGTTCTCTTAGTTTAGAATAAAACTCTCTTGACAAGTAGTGGTTTAATGATCAAAGTGATTTGCTTATAACAATTGAATCCCAAGTTCGAACTTATCTTCGTGTAATTTATTTGAAACACTCGTATCACATCTTACCTTGATGTTATAGCTTAGTGGTTAATATGTGTTCGGTTTTTAACCACGAAGTCCAGTGTTCAGACCTTTCATGATCTACTTCAATTTAGTTAATTAGGTTATCATCATCAGTTTTCATATGTAATGTTCAACGTGCAATATCAGATACATGAATATCTGTAATTAAAAAAATGAATTATTTGTTTTCATAATAAATAATTTCTTATTTTTGATAGCTATCGCCATCTAGATTTCAAAGTGAAATTGAACAAAATTGTCTATCAACTTCATCATTGAATCCATCATCAAAAAATGTAAGTGCCTCTTAACATTTGTACAATTTAAGATCATTTCTAATGCATAAATTCATTTGTCACATAAGTGTAATGTATGTATGTATGTATTTTGAAGTTTACTAGCTTAATTACTATAGGTGAACTTAGTGGCTTGTCTTAAAAACTTTATATAGTCTATTCATACCTCTCTCCCTCTATCTTCTTTGGTATGTATTTTCGTATGTATTTTGTAATTTACAGTTCAATAGAATAGGATCATGTGTAATATTGTTTAATTGTTATCGTTCTCATCATGAGAGCTGTAGAGTATAGTTTAGATATTGTGTAGTGTTTTTGATACTTAGTGCTTAGATGTCTCAAATTAGGACGTAATAACTATTTCTCTAGTTGATATTATCAGTCGTTGATAAAAACGCAACTCAATTTATTCAGATTATTCAATTGTGGAAACTGTTATTCATTTGTTCATTATCGTATTTGGATGTTATATATCCTACAGTAATACAGAGGTACAGAGTCCTATCAACTATGTTAGAAAACGGATTGACTTATCAGGAGAAAAGCTGAAGCTAAAAACTGATCAAAATCTTCAAGACAGTTGAACTTGAAGAAGCGAACTATACTTCACTCAAGATGGCTAGTTTACGTAAACACAATGAATATCCGGCTAAGATTTTCAGCTGATTGTACTTGAAGAAGTAAACTGCACTCCACTAAAGACAGTTAGTTTACATGAGCACAATATGCACTCGGATCTTGCTTATTTTCGGCAAACATAAAAATAATAAAACCCTAGCTGTTATTGTGTGTGCAACAGTACGGGAAAGGTCATGCCTTCAGACCATTATGTCAGTTATGTGGTAGGATGCAGTGTCACGCAGTTTAGTATCCTGCTCAAGTAGTTGTATCTTTCTAATATGACAGTTGTCATTGGTGATTTAGTATTCTCACGCTCATACCACAATTAGATATAATACCATCCGCTCTTCCGTGAATTGAATACATCTCTCTGATATATTTACCGAATCCAATGGCTTTCCTGGATATGCAGTCCGGTTAGACCATAAAAGAAATACGTAAGCTTTTGCAGCCACGTTTTAGACACACAGGTAGGTTGTTGCAGTGCCTAACAGTTTAATACCCCATTTGAGCACTTACATCTTCCCTAGTCTATGGATTTGAATAAGAACCTAGTCTCCGATTTATTATTACATTTCTCAATTTATTTACCCTTTTCATAATCAGTAACAATATTATTAAATCTTCACTTCTTGTTAGTATAAATTTTTACATAATTGTCTTATATATCACGAAAATTTCTCCATATTTCTCTCAAACCCTCCCCCCCCCAACCAGACTGCCAGAAGGTGGTTAAACCAAATAGTCGCAAATATGTTAATTGCCTCAATTTATAACTGATATCGATTATTCTCGATAACATGCAGGATTATAGAGTACAAAACAACAAGACATTTCTCTTACCTAACTGACTGGTATTTCTTTTAAACTGTTAAAAAGCTAAAACTGGAATTCATAAATCAGGAGAAACCCTACAACTAAGCATCATAACAATAATCATTCTGTTAATCCTACTTAACTAAAAAAACATACAAACGAATTAACTACAGAATTACTACCCTCAGGTTGTGTATATTTTCTCACTTTACTTCCCAATATTAGTGTAATTCCTCTTACGTAATATCTATGTATATGTAATACATATCTGTATTTAATATTATACATTAAATGAATGGAGGATAAATACATGTTGACTGGTAATTTGGAGAATCGTCCCACTGGTATGCAGTTTAAAAAAGGTTGTTTACTATGAACCTAGAAATTGGTTAATAAATTTACAATTGAATCCTCAGCGTAGACATGAAAACAATAATAAGTGTTTCCCTCTCTCTCTCTCTCTCGATAATCTCTTCAGTAGTTTCAATGGAATGAGATATTCATAGATGAGGTAAATGATGTCAGTTTCTTCTCCCCGAGTTTATATGTCCATGTCTTCTACTTTATGAAGCTATTACTGTTGACTACGCTCTGCTCTCATCCAACTAATTAACCTGGCTTTTTATGTGTCTATATATGTATTCACACATTGTAATTTGCTGTGTTTTTTCTGTTGCTTCATTGCATTCCTTTTTATCACCGGTAATATATGTAATGGTCCTTCCTCTATCTTCGTGAATTTTCAACAGTATACACAAAAACATTGTACTCCTTATCTTACTATGACTTGCTCTGTGATTGGTTATCTTTACCTATTATTTAGACAATTATCGAAATTTCATTATACACATACATTTGATCCATTATATTCTGACTGTCAAGATCTCTTGCTCTAGTTGTCTTGTTCACCCTGTCCTAATTGTACTTTTTTCTTGTTGACTAAACTTAATTATTTGGTTCGTTTGAATGATATTGGATTCATTGTGTGTTAGAATTTATTCATTTTTGCACATATATATATATATATATATATATATATATATATATATATATATATATATATATATATATATATATATATATATAATATATTGCAAAGCGTATGTGTGGAATTTCACAATTTAAACAATATGTGCCATATAATATGCTCTGGACTACTCATTATTTTATTATGTTTTAAATTATCATTATTCAAGTTATTTTGAAATTGTAAAAATTTCTGCATAAAACATTGTAATCATGTGCTAAACATTGATCAGTAGATTGCCGCCAAATGCCCTGGTACGGCCGAGAGTTGGATGAGTCCGCTCTCCCTCTCCAAATGCTCTCACATGGCCACGCGTATATAGCCTCTGACAGGGAAGTCCTACTCACTGCCTTCTTGTGGCATTACTGTTGTTTACCAAATTGAGAGGACGAATAACGAATGTCCGGCGCTTTAACCGGGTCGGTGGACACGGCGCATCCACTTAGGGGAGTTGGAAAACTCTGATTCCAAACCAACGGTGCACATGGGCTGGCTCCAGTATCCCGAGGGAACAAATGGCGTATGAATCAATCGTTGTCACCGGCTACCATGAAACTGTATCTCCTTACGATGCTCCACTGCCTTGTGGATCAGACCCTTAGGTTAAAGGCTGCGTGTGTGGCCCCCTAAGAAAACTACTTGCTTCAGTTTGGGCACCTGGGTAGTATCATAGCCCTCACACAAGTCGAATGAGATCTGTGTGGCGCACATATATCTGGTGCCCCTTCGTACCGATATTTATATGTTTAAATAAATAAATAAAAATAAATCACACCCAAAGAGTAGGAAAGTAGCTCACTGGTAACGTTGAATAAGAATGGCACTATGCTCTCCAGTCTCACAAATGTAAGGAACTGAATTGCATTTTAGTTGGTTAAATTCATGTTTGATCTGAGTAGTAACTTACTGGTTTCAGGTTCTGCTAACATCGCTTCACGTACCTCATCAGAAAGGTCAATAGTAAAGCTAAATCTCACATAACTAGTGTTCATCTAAGCAGAGTACATAAACCTATATTTGTCAAGTGAAGTCTGGATATCGATTCTGTGTCGAGTTATTTTGCTACCTAAATAGTGTCAGGCTAGGATGCGAAATCGTTTGCGATACTCGTCAATGTTTAGTAATTCGCCAATTACGCATTTTATTTTGTTATTGAAGTTACTCTTCAATAATTGTGAATAATTCATTTTTTGTTATCTTTTTCTTCATGATATTAAAAAGGATTTTCACATTTGTCCTTGTTGCCGATTAACATTTACCAGTAATTCTGTATATGAATGTCATATGAATCGTTCAATAGCCCATATGTATTATCGATGTCACCTTTGCATAGAGTTGAATGATAATAATAATATGTCTGTGACTAATAGTCAAATTCCAGTTAATACAACCAATGCAACTAGTGTAAATTCCATGTTAATTCCCAACGAAATAATTGGTACAGATTCAATTAATAGAAGAAATATTTCTAGTGTAGCAACAACAACAACCACAACAACGGCTACTACTACTACTACTAGCACTACTATTAACAATAATAATCAAAAAATTGTCAACCATAAAAATGTTGCTGATTTTCAATTCTATTCAATTCTACCTGGTAATATCATAAAAGCAACCAATCATTGCGCTATATTCTGTCATTTCATATCGGCTCATCCGAATCAAATGGATTTATGGACATTGAAATCATCATTGCTTACTATATATTCATTAAAAGGATCTATAACATGTGCAGATTTAAGAAAATCATCTCTTTCAGATTTACTATCAAATGCTCAAAGTAAGTTTCTTTTTTAAAAAAAAGTTTTTTGATGAATAGATAAACATAGATATTATATAGTGTTGTTAAATGTGTAAATGAAACAGTTGTTTGTTACTTACTTTGACGTGTAATTCATCTTAGTTCTTGCTCAATGTATCTAGTATTGATTGATTTAGTGATAGTGTATACATGTTGTTGAACAGTTTAGGGTACTTCCGTTTATCCGTTTGTTTGTTCCGTATTTTGAACCTAATTGTAATGAATGTTTTTAGAGGCTGGTATCAAAGCAGTTACTTGAGTTGTTACTTTCCGAATTTTATTCCTGGATGATAGGTATAAAATTCTAGAAAGTTTATCATAATCAATTGATTTTGCGTAGATTTACGTCATAATTTGGACGATTAGTTTCACAATAGTTGAATGTCAATTGAATACAAGTTACTAGATAAAATAAATGTTTGTAGAGATCTAGACGTTTGAAATCTAATTAGTTTCAATGTTTCGCTAGATAGGTTGGTTCATATAGTCTAATCTAAAACAGTCAGTCCCTTTGGTAGTATGGAATGAAAACGCAAAGAGTGTCAAAGCTGTATGATATGTTTGGAATTTATTATTGTGATTGTACTCTCCGATTGTCTCTAAAATACGACCGAGTAGAGATACGTCTAATACAAAGGGTAGAATCTACGCACATAGATCGAATGATCATTATATAACAATGTTTCAACGACCAAAACCCTCATGGGAATTTATTTATTTATTTAAACACATAAATATTGGTAAACAGGGGCACCAGATATATATGCGCCACACAAATCTCATTTAATTTTTGTGAGGGCTATGATACTGCCAAGGTGCCCAAACCGAAATTGATGGTTTTCTAAAGTGACCACACCCGTAGCATTCAACATAAAGGTCTGATCCACAAGGCAGTAGACCAGAGTCAGAAGATGCAGTCACATGGTAGCCAATGACCGACGATTGGTGCATACGCCATTTGTTCCCTCAGGATACTGGAGCCAGCCCATGTGCACCATTGGTTTGGAATCAGGGTTTTCCAACTCCCCTAGGTGGAATTCGCGTGTCCACCAACCCGGTTAAAGCGCCGTACATTCGCTCATGGGAATAATAAACGAGAAGATGGGACTTTTAAAATTGCTTTTTTATCTGAAGAAAAGATAATGACATGAGTAAATATCACAGTGTGTGTAGTATTATACAAGACAGAAAGATAAAAAAGATGTGAATTACTTGGAGTTGCTACATTACAAAGATCATAATAAAATAAAGTATGAAACATTACAATAATACCTCTCTTCGTAGAAATGCGAAAAGGTTACAGTAGTACTGATTTTGGTCAACTGTAATACTTTGACAACAATGACTTATGTTTAGTAAGTCAAAATCCAGTCGTTAGCATTTTCAACTTTAGTTAATTTAACGCTTATCTTGATAATCTTATCTCTCTGTAGGGATATTTTGTGACTATTCGAATCAATATATAGTATGTATTAGGTTCTACACTGCTTACAATTAACTGATTAAGTAAATTGCTTAGTTATTAATACGATTTCAACTACAATTACTTGAAGAGGAATTGAAAAATCGGTGGAGAAAATTCAATCCGTTAAAAAAGTGTTATTAATTCACACTTTTCAAGTAAACCAGATTCTGCCATTGTAGTATTTCCTGTCGTATGTTTAATCACTATCTTGTAAGTGAAGGATTTTTTGTGAGAAAGTTGACTAGTTCTTTTGAGGATTTGTTACCATATCTTTATTCAGCTTTCATGTTATTTGAATCATCGTTATTATTATTATTATTATTATTATTATTATTATTATTATTATTATTACAGAAGAGAAAACATCTTCAAATCAAGTTCCAAATCAATCTGACAAAATTCCATCTGATCCATTCTCTAATCTTAAATGTCTATCAGGAATTCTCAGTGATCTTCATCAAAGTCTCAAGTTTGTTCATCTGTCATATCATTTGTTTTTCTTATTTATAATTTAATCATTTGTTTGTATAGCTCAGTTATATTATGAAATTCAAATTAAATATATCAATAAATTATCGAAAGCTTATCAAGTCATCAAATCTCATTTCTCTCTCGTGCACTCTCTCTCGTTTTCTTTTGAATCCAGTGGAGTTATCCTAAAATTTATTGGTTTTAGTTATATAAGGATGGCTAAGTCAATCCGCTAACACATTACATCGGATTAATTTCCGGGATTATTCATTTTAGGTCTTCATACACAATCTTTATAGCTCCTTCTACTTTAGTTATTCGTATTAAACTGACTATTAAGAACTATGATGACTGCGTTGTCTGTATATAAACGAAGGAAAACTGATTATTTTTTACTGACTGATTTTCTCCACTAATAACAAGTATCAGTATGAGGTTGTGGAGATTGTTAAGCTTTTGATTAAGATCATGAATCGGTTGATGTTAGATCATCAATGAAAACCTGTAGGTTAGAGGTTAAGCGTTCGCGCGCGAAACCGAAGACCCTGGGTCCGAATCCTACAAGCGGGACCGTAAATGCGCACTGCTGAGCAGTCCCATACTAGGACGAAACGGCCATCCAGTACTTCTAGGTTTTCAATGGTGGTCTAACATCAATCGATTCATGATCTAAATCAAAAAAATCAAAATAACAAATATCCCTCTCTTGCACTATTCTGCGTTTATTTATTATTTATTTATTTGAACACAAATATTGGTACAAAGGGGCACCAAATATATATGCGCCACACAAAAAATTGTCATTTCATTTAATTGTATGAGGGCTATGATACTGCCCAGCTGCCCAAACCGAAATAAGTGGTTTTCTAAACGGACCACACCCGGAGCATTCGACATAAAGGTCTGGTCCACAAGGGAATAGACCAGAGTCAGGAGATGCAGTCCCACGGTAACCGGTGACCAACGGATGGTGTAAACGCGTATTGTTCCCTCAGGATACTGGAGCCAGCCCATGTGCACCACTGGTTTAGAACCAGGGTTTTTCAACTCTCATAGGTGAACTTTCCGTATCCACCAACCCGGTTAGAGGGCCGGACATTCGCTTTTCGTCCTCTCAATTTCGTAAACAACAGTAATGCCACAAGAAGGCAGTAAGTAGGACTTCCCTGTCAGAGGCTATATACGTGTGACAATGTGAGAGCATTTTGAGAGAGAGGGCGGGTACTCCCCACTCTCGGCCATACCAAAGTATTTGGGGTCATCCTACGTTTCCTTCACACGATTAATGTTTATCTATCGGGATAATCAGTTTACTGCTAGTTAGTACCTATTAATGAGACATACCTGCAATCTTGAACGATATATGCTCACCATGTGTATGATTGTTGTATCCATGCAAATGGTCTCGTGATTGATAGAATCTAAACGGTATCAACAGCTGATTATTACAAAATAGTCATTTATTCCAAATATTTCATTCTAATTTATCACTCAATTAATAGGCCATGTAAGTTCTTATTTTTGAAGTCTTTTTATTAGTTATGACACTTGGTCATAGGTTCCTTTTGCTGCTTAGATCCATAAATCGTATGATTTTACCAAAAAAAACTACAAGGCTACAGTGTACCATAGTTTTAAAATATCAATAGGTTCACACAACTACGATATTTTTCTGCGCAAAATTAGGTAACTTATTTATCGTCGATGAATACAAGGAGTCAATCGGAGACAGTAACAAATAAGTCGTAGTCAACGTAGAATTTGGCACTAGTGTTCATCAATAGAAATCGCCACACCATATTACCACACAAGATTGTAATTGATAAGATAAAATATCAAAGATGATAAGAAACATTACACAGTGTGGTTGTCGTCCGATAAGGTATGATATTTATACAAGTATGCTGAAAATCAATATCTTGCACAGAACAAAGAGTGAGTGCTTCTATGCCACTGTGACCGATTATTCGGAAACATCATTTCAACCACTACTCTCACTCTTCACAATAATTTCACGGACACCCAACAAAGTAGTTTTTACTGTCAACATGACTCAGAACAATAATCAATAATTTCATGAATTAATCCCGTATCTTGATTTGACTATTCTCAGTCTTTGGACCCGCTCCGTACACCAACCAACGTTTCACGTTAATTTGCAACTGTCGTTAGGCCTGCGTAACAATTTACCAACCACCTCAGTCGAAGGGGATCCACAAGCTCATCAATTAACCAACCATACTTGTCTAGTACGCTGTGCATAACCTCATCATTATGCATTTGATCTTTTAATGACACGCAAGCATAACTTCTAAGTTATTTGCTAATTAATAATGATTACTAGATATATTCAGCTAGTTAGTGGTCATTGGTCTTATATATTCTGTTGATATTGTAAAATCAACCTCATGAGTAAACCAATCATTTGGTGGAGGACAAGGTGAAAATGGTTGATCGTTTGATACACTCCTTCTAGCTTTTTTGTCCGCTTAGTTACGACAGCATCATATAATTATCATCTCGAATTATTCATCACTACAAATGTTTGTTATTTTAGTCCATAATAATAATCTTTTATTTATCTATAATATATTGTACTCGTTTTTTCTTTTCTTCTTTAATACAGCAATATATCTGGTCTAGAGAATTATGACATTCTTCATCCATCATCGTCAACATCAGTGAATATTAATAACAAGAATGGTTATGATTATAATGTATTGTTAAATTCTCCTATCATCAGTGCAAGTGATTATGATGATAATATTATCATTGAAAAGTTCTGTTCCTTACAACGTATTTACACACCGATAGTAATTCATTGTCAAAAACAAATAACCAATGGAAATACCACTGACAACAGTATTCATCATCGTCAATCGCATTTTGATTTGCATCTACCAAAGTTGCCTAGTTCTGACAGTTTATTATTTCGTATTATTCTTAGTCTGGCCAATTCTGATATTTGGCATACCCATCTGTTCTTATCAAATTGGTGTGATAATAATAGTAATAATGCAAATAAGTCGTTATCGAATGAAAATGGGATTGTTGACAAGTGGAGTACCTTTATGTGTTGCTATGCTGCTAATAATAATGAGAATAACTCTTCAGATATTTTATTCAGTATCGATGACGATGATGATAATGATGATGATTACGGTGATGATGACGATGATGGTGATGATGAAGACCGTTGTCGTGATAATGGACATGATTTTCACAGTAATAATAATTGTAATAGTAATGAAAAGAGTGTTGTTGATAGGAATTTTCAAAGCAAACTATCAACGAAGCGATTGTCTTTAGCAAGTATGTTAATTTTATTTGTTCATATCAACCAATCAGTGTTAGACCACCATTGGAAACCTGGGAGATGATGACCCAGTATCATGGATTGATTGAAGCTAAACGCTAACAGCATTCGATCTCAGCTCAGCAGTCCAGAAGTTACGTGTTCGTGCGAGCCCGAAGGTTCTAGGTTCGAATCCTGCGCACTGCTGAGTAGTCCTATACTAGAACAAAATGGCCGTCCAGTACTTACAGATTTTCCATGGTGGTCTAGCTTCAATTGACTCATGATTTTCAATATAAAAAATTACTAAAACCTCCAGAAAAACCCCTTCTGATAATATCCTATGACTAACTGATTAGCGCTCAGATTCTGTCTAACTTGAAATATCAGTTGCAGTCACAAAATAAATTTCTATTCGGAATCAATTATCTTAAATCAATCTATGTACATCAATTTAGCTGAACATACTGTTTGAGAAGGATATCACTAATCGATTGCTCAAATGAATGTAGGTGGGGTTGGGGCTTTGACCTACGAAGTAGAGCCAAAGTGTCCATATGTTACCTTAAAGCTGGCATAATAAGTGAGATCCAAGCTTTGACTCCTTATAGTGAGTAAATCTATTACTTACTTATCCAAGGTCAGCATAGTCTACATAAATCGAAGACTGCAGGTTTTGATTCATAAATGTCCTCAAAGTGCTCGCGTATCTTGGAACAACCCGTTGAGTAGCGATGAGGATGTGGATCCCCTTCGACTGAGGTGGTTGGTAAATTGTTACGCAGGCCTAACGACAGTTGCAAATTAACGTGAAACGTTGGTTGGTGTACGGAGCGGGTCCAAAGACTGAGAATAGTCAAATCAAGATACGGGATTAATTCATGAAATTATTGATTATTGTTCTGAGTCATGTTGACAGTAAAAACTACTTTGTTGGGTGTCCGTGAAATTATTGTGAAGAGTGAGAGTAGTGGTTGAAATGATGTTTCCGAATAATCGGTCACAGTGGCATAGAAGCACTCACTCTTTGTTCTGTGCAAGATATTGATTTTCAGCATACTTGTATAAATATCATACCTTATCGGACGATAACCACACTGTGTAACGTTTCTTGTTTTGGTTGCTAGTATATCACTTAGATTCATTTGCTGATTACCTTGCCAATTTCATCCTTTTTGTGGTAATGTGATATGGCAATCTGGGCTAACAAATATTTTTGCTATAATTTTTTGATGACAGTAACTAATCGACTGATAAGTAACATGACATTTAACAGGAACCAAGGTAATTTTATGGCCTTTCATCTTCAAGGCAGAGTGATTATAGGCGACTCAGTATACCGAGTGATCTACCTAATTATTCGATTGCTAGCTCAAACTTTATGCATTTCGATTGGTCATGGTTGTCACTACCGTGACATGAGAACGGAAACCATGTAAATTTAGGGAATTCTGTAACACCATTTGACGGATAAATATTAGGTTTTGCTGCCCACACATATCCACGACTTGTCAGACTGATTGAGTCATGCTATGATTGCATGATGTTTGAGCTTGGTGGAAAATTCGCTTATTCATCATCGCTCTCCTACATTTTGTATCATACATACTATTTAACACATTTCGTCTTACATACATGCCATACTTTTCGTCACAACCGTAACTCAAACCGACAGAATGAAATTATTCTCCTATATTATCCTTTTAATGATTTTGACTCCTTCACACCTTAGCTACTAAAAAGATAATCGTAGCGAAAAACTGCGAAGATCCTGTGTTGTGGAAAAACTTCAAACCCTTTGTTATACTCGTTCGCTTTTTACTGGTTAGTTATCTCATTTAAAAATTATAGATTAAAACACATTTCACGTTGAACAATTGTCAAAACTCAGATGAATAATTATCAGTTTAACGTTCCAAATTAATTAACCACTGAGGAATCTCAATGTAAAATTTTTCCCTCTTGAAAGAGAAAGCTATAAGCTACAATAGTCCCAAAGTGATGACATGAGTTTAATTTATGAACTAATCAATCAGAATTAATATTGCATCTCTTGAATTTTTGGCGTTAAATTTATTTATTCATATCATCGAATATCACTCTGTCATTGTAGCTGATGTCAATTGGTGGGGGAAAACCCTAACTCTAATCTTAAATTTATCACAATATTTTGTAACCTTATTTTAAACATAATAAGCGGTTTGTTTCTCGAAGTCACTTTGGTGTCGTTCAAAGGTTGTCGACAAGTTATAGTCTCGTCAATTTTATTATTATAAATTGCACAGATTCTGTGTAATATTTCTTCTAAACTTCCTTATCTAATCCATTTCTTTAGAATGATAAAATTAAGACAATGAAGAACATTAAATTCACTTAGTATTGTTTGTTTGAATCTTCCCATCGATGTGTTAGGACTGCAACTGGTCAGTCTCTAATTGGCATATGTGCATACTGTGTGTATTGCCTCGATGTAGCCTTGATTCACAAGCATGATTAACAAAGAAGGATAGTGGCTAGCAGTCCTAAAAACATCAATGGGAAGATCCAAACAAACAGTACGAAGTAAATTTCAACTCCATCCCATTGCACCTAGTACCCTCACTTCAAGTCCCAGAGTGAACATCAACTTTGAGATGCAGGTACATCCAGCTGACGAGTCCTAATTAGGACGAAACGCGCGTCCTGTATTCCACTGCTAGCCACTATCCATCTTTGTTTATCATGCTAATGAAGAACATTGTTCTGTTTTTCACCGACTGTTTGTTAGTAATAATTGGTTGTTCAAGCTGTCTATGTCGTCTTTTTTTCTGTACATGTAGAACTGTGTGATATTTGTCTACCACCTTCCGCTCCATCCAATACATATTTGAACCAGGCTCTAGGTTCATTGATATTCTCCAGTCATGATGATCATCATGCTTCAACATGTTTCACAAATGCAACAATCAACCGAACGTCTGATGATATATACAAACCGAAATCAATAATGAAATCCAATGTGGATCAACAGTTTGGAATATTACGTTGTTTAATATGTCAATTCCGAACAAATAATCATAAATTACTTATTGAACATCTTATCGGTAATCCACCATTTAATCATACAAAATGTGGTCTATGCGGTCAATTATTATTTGCTAATCAACCGTCACTTTGTTCAGTTAAAGCACATCTACTCTTACATTTAGGCTGTTATTTAATGTGCCCTCAATGTGGATTTACGGTAGGCTTATTTATTTAATTATTTTTCAATTGTATGTAAAACACAATTCATCTGTTGATTGACTTTCTATGAGATCATCATGAAGATCCATTCTAATGATTTCATGTTTTTTCTTTACCGTAGTTTATCATCTGATGTAGAATAACTTAATTGTGATTTTCAACAAGACGATAGTATCATTAGTAAATAAAAGTAAAATAGATCCCATTATTTCAGATTACAAGTCGTGTTCTTCAAACCTCATATTTCAAATAGAAATTGTTGGATTCCTCTTTTGGGATCCCACTGAAATCAGGAAGAATGCATCCTTAAGGTTTGGAATTCTTCAGGAATATGGGCCTACATCAACACTTGAACTTTGGAATGCGCCAGCGAGCTTGATACAAAAATAAGTGGCAAGTGTAAGACTAACTAATGCGTAGCTTCGAACTAGGATTAACTATTCTCTCCGCAATCCCCTGGTTTTGAAAAATTTTCCTAATGGAATTTTTCTCTAATCAAGATTGACTTTATAGAATAGAATATTTTATAGAAAAAATAACAACCAGTGTAAGTATATTGTAACTCCGAACTATAGTTATCTTTAAAGTAATCAACCAATCAAAAATGATAAATTAATAGTTTGTACGGAAAAAATAACATTACAAAGAATATCCAGATTTCACATGATTAATGGATTAGTTTAGACGTTCAATAGGTTCTCATGTCTTTATAACAAAAATGTTATACTGTATAGACTCATCCATATGGTTCCATATCACTCATTTTTTCCTATCGTTATATAAGAATCGAAATAGTATTTAAATCGTCCACACATACCTTCGACATTATTTGTGAGAACATCAGTTAACAAATGTACAAATTCCTGCTTATACACAACAATTCAAGTCTTCATAGATATGTGTCACCCACTCAGTCTTATTGTGTATAAATTATTGTTCGTGAAAGGACGGATTTCTTCACTTCAAGAAAACGTTTTGATGCTTTCTGATTTCACCCAATAGAAAGATAATTTCAAACTCATTAATACATCTGAATGTATTTCTGTACACTAATGATATTGTCTGTGAGTGAAGAAAATTGGGACAGTCATGTCTTTACATGTCACTGTTGTTACCAATGAAAAATCTATAGAAATAAACTCATTTTTCTGCAGTTTAAAGTTTACTTAGACAAATGATCGAACTGCAGACGAAATTACGGACAGAACTCATATAGTTCCCGTACTGTGTTGTTGTATACTATTAGTACACCATATAATAAGCATTTTAGTTCAAACAAACCCCATGATCTTGATATCAGTATTTCAATGTTTACTTATTCATCCCTATAGTATAGGTTCATCAAATAACCTCATGTAGATGGGTTTTTTTAGCCGAAAACACTTAGTCATTTAGCCCAAGACTGTCTGGTCGATATTGCATTTAATCAGCATCTAGTAAGGTGCTCTGATGATAGCCAAAAATCATTGCACCTTGGTTCCTATAGAATGCTTTTTAAGCTATTCTGTTCATCATTTGCCTGAAACTTAGGTTTCTTGATTCTTGAACTCTCCTAATGACGACACTTTTCCCCTCTCACTATTTTGCGACGATCCCCGTCAGGTGGTCTGTGAATCAGATTTACTCGAAAGCAAACCCTGTAAACATGCGGCATCATATAACAGCGTTTCGAGTGGAAGAGTAAACTACTCATCCAACTTAGAACATTCTAGATAATCCATAACTCCCCCCTCCTATAGTGACGAATATAAATAGGCGTTTTGAAAACAATATTTTCATTCATTTAGTGTATAGTTTTTAACGTTAATTAATTATATGCATACCTTTTTTTCTTTTCTCTTTAATTACAAACATGACAAAAATAAATGAAGCCTCCATTACATTTGCCGCCAGACTGTGCAGAACTATGTTTACGTGTTCACCTACGTTTTGTTTGTTATCATTTCAATTTGAAAGAAATATTTCGATGTAATTATTGTGATGGGGACGGTAAAGCTTATCCTACTTATGATAACTTATGTCACCATCATTTGAGACATCATGTAAAGCGAATATATTCATGCTTATGGTGTGCACGACAACTACGTAGTAATAATTATGAGAGTAACAATAATAATACAAATTACACTAGTAGTAAAGCTTTTCAGATATCAGAGACAACAGGTGATAATGCCTCGATTCCGGTTCATGACGTCTCAAAAAGAAAAATCACATCTACAGCACATATGGCTTCTATTCATATGAATAAAGAAAATATCAAATTGCCATGTTCCACGACTACATCCCATAAAAATGCACGTCCTAATTCCAATAAATCTAATTCTTGTAAGTTGTGATTTGTTTATTTTTTCATTAGAAATTTAACATTTATAACTACTGCTACTACTAGCACAAGTGATGATGTCTAAATGATTGTAAAGCGCTTGGTTTTCAACCATTGAATATAATATTAGCAAGTTTAGATTGTTATTCTGTCTTTTTGCGTTTGAGAGTTATGTTTATAGGTGCAGACTACCTGATTTAAGTCTGCGTGGATGATATGTCTCATAAGTGTTCGCAATAGCGCAGGTATATTTACTCTTTATATTCCTTTAGAACATTAGTCTCGAAGTCTTTTCTTGTAACACTGTTACTACTCGTACTACTCTGGGATATATATTGAAATAATTCTACCTAGTTGTATAGTATGACAATTTGAACTGATGCATATGTGTCAGGTTCTACGTTGCGTGCGGTTGACTAACAGAACAAGGTTTACACAGTCGGAAAACGTATCAGATACCTACCCCACCCATCCGCCCTACACGTAAAGACATGCAGAAGAATGTTACTCAGAGCTTATAACACCTATTAAACTCTTGTTACTACTTGTGAATTTCACAATTATTCTGAATATCACCATTCTTCAAGAGCCATTTTCTAATGCGAAACTCACTAGTACTATGGTCCGACAGCTTTGCCTATCACTGGATCATCGGTTCACAAATTACTAACAAGTTTCAACTATCAGATCTATTTTTGACTTCATTTTATCAGTTAGCATCAAGCAACATGAGCTAAAACATTGAGTCAGTCAAACAAAGAGTCGTATTTCAATGTCACTGATAAGATTCTATCAGCTCTAATTACTCGAGAATATGGCACTTTTTTCTGAAAAGATATTCCCGTCGTTTTGACTCGATTAGTTACCGCTGGATGATTGATTTTTTTAATCTAAATGGCGACACTGTGGACACTTTATCTATCTATATTTATGTATTTGAACGTATAAATATTGGTACAAAGTGGCCAAACCTTTATAAACAACGCAGTCAGTTCTTTAATCAGAAAGTCACTACCATCTTCAAAAAGGGCCGGAGGTAAGTCATCTGGGCCCAGTGATTTGTGCCGCTTCAAGAATTGGAGTTCCTTGTGGACTTCCGCCTCATTTCGTGGATCAGTCGTCACAGGCCGTGGAGGGCAGGACAGTCTGGTCGATGTTGCCTGGGCGGCAGACCAGGTTCACTGCCCCTCGAAAAACTTTCAATCGTCCAAGACGTCGATTGTTTCGCTGACATCATACTTATTGCTGCCAGTGGCTCGGATGAGTTGAAAGAGCTGTCGGCAGTTGCCAGATTTAGCTGCTGCATATGCACTTTTGTTCAACTTAGTCGTAACACTTGTTATGTCTTATGGCCCGTTAAATATCACCTGACAAAATCGCCAATCAGAATACCGACTTCTATGGCCTTATTCCTGTGCTAAGCCAATGACACGTCAACCAGTAGTAGCAGCCTTGAGTCAACTCTGAGTCCTTATTGGTCCCCTGTATAGCAACTTCTCACCCAGCCCTGATCGTTCAGTGCAGAACACAATATAAGCTTACAATATGTGGATAATATATTCCAGACGTACTTAGTTTGTATACGAACAGACCAGATCGCATCACACCATAAGATAAAAAATAATTATTATAAAGGATCAAGCCAAAAGTTGCTACGAGTACAGGAGACTGTAACTAATAGATTGGAGAAAAAATAAGGATGATAAATTGTATAACAGTAGCCAATAGGTCAAATGAAATCTAGTGATAAAATATAAATATAAATGTGTATAGTGTAGTTTCTGAATAGTTATACAACAAGAATATATATATAATAAAAGTTCATAAATAGTTCCCAGAAGTTACCCATAATTTAATCTTCTTCGAACATAACAACACTGTCTTCTGTAGCACTGTGCAGTCTATGTTAGAATCTGATAGGGCTACATGTTCATACCTGTTTATCTCCAATTGTTTTCGACTAGTAGTTGTACTGCATCATTGCTCCTTATGCAAAATATAAATTTATAGCTCGAATTCATAAACCATTATTCAATTAACATGTTACAGTTCCTACAAGATTATTGCAAATATATTTTTCCAATGTGCGCGTGTACTAACAAAAGTTAAAAGTAGGTTTCCAATGTCCTATCAGTTTTGTTTAATTTGTTATAACAGTGATCAAATTTAACTTTTTTTTTACTTAATTTCGGATTTCTTTTCTTTTACGTATTATCAAAAAAATAACGTCGAAACAGCTCATGGTTCGGTCAATAGTTCAATCCCTAATAAGACTCCAAATATATTTCGTTCCAATTCTATCCAAGAGCTTTTATATCATTTGAGAAATGTTCATCGGTCTTCTGTAATTCCTAGTGCTATCGAACGGACTAACAAGTGTGTTGCTGTACACCATGAAGTTGAACTATCAGATAACGTCTTAACTATTGATGTTCCAGAGTCGCCACCACCACATTCTCTTCATCCCTCTGTCGTTGTTGTAGGCCACAATCAAACATCTTCAGTCAATAATGATGTTCGTAAAGTTGGTTATGATGGTGTTACTTCTTCAGATCCACAGAAATCATCCAAAAACTCTGATGTTTTACAAATGATAGATGAATTACAAAAGAATATCACTAATAACAATGATAATAATGTTAAAAATAAATTATCTATACATTTAGCTCCAAAGGTTGATTATAGTGTAGGACTTCAATGTATTGAATGTTCTAAAGAATTAAGTACAAAAGAACATTATATGGAACATTTTCAAGTGAGTAGTTGTTTAATTTTTGTCAAACCAACATAGAGAGTTTTGTAAAAATTGTTCACTCTTTTTCGACAGTTTCACATCATGGACTAACGAGGTTTAACAAAATAATCGTTATAAGGTAGGGCTGGACCCAATATTTCATCACCTAGAACCTTCGAGCTTTGGAGGCTACTCTTCAGACCATTGAGTTGTAGTGTGTTCAATCGTTTCGTTTTCTCGTGAACCATGAATTACCTTTTTCTTTTGTTATTATTATGGCTTCTACTTTTCAGATCTGTGTTAAGTCCAAAAACTTCGTGTTCTTCTTATAAGTTGTTTACTTATCGGTCTCCCACTTAACATTCACATTGATTCGGTTGTTCAGTACCAGTAATCTATGAACTACTTATCATCTATCCAATAAACTCTCGAGCTTCATTTTTCAAACTTTAAGATGGATAAATCGTATCACATTCAAAATACTACCCATTTATGGCAATATACTTGTCCGGTATCCACTGCCATTGTTAAAAATTTCTCTAGAAATATTCAGGAAAATAGATTCTACACCTACTCTATCGTTTAACACTGTCATCTTTATCTGATCCCTAGTACTGTCATTGCGTGACCATTTTGCATTCAGAAAGCATACAGAGATTTTGAGGTGTTGTGCGTTTTTCTTCTGATTGGTGGCGACTTTTCATTTTTTGCTGTTGTATTTTTGGCACAAGTGCTCCGTACAGAAAAAATCGATGTGGTTGTGATAAAAAATAGAAAAGAGGATAGTCGCTCGATATCGTGAATTGGTTGGAGTTGAACACTAACACTGTTCCACCTTGGCTCAATGGTCCAGATGTCAAGCGTTCGCTTGAAACTGAAGGTCTCGGGTTTGAGTTATGCGCGCGAGATCATGGACGCTCACTGCTGAGGAGTCCCATACTAGGACGAAACGGCCGTCCAGTATTTTATTATACTTATTTCATTAATTACAACAATGTTTAGACATACATTCATCTTTAAGATTTTTTAGACTTAAAGTACTTTATGTATAATGTACTGAAGGCGGCTGGATTTTGTTTTATTCTGGAGGTAACTAGTTGTTATATCTCTGAGAATAGCATTCATGCAATTGAACTAAACAGTAGTTCACAAACTATTTGTCACTTTCTTAAGGTGTCATACTTAAGTCATTATTCAATTTTATATTCACTTCTGGAATAGTTATTTAAGTCTTTTCCTACGGACAAAATATAAGATACCAGTAATATATTTTGTATAATAGGTTTTCGACAGTTTTAAAACACTAACATCAAATATTCAAATCTTGATAAAATTACTTATTCCATTCATGTCTTTTCATAGTGTTGAATTTTTTGTCCAACATCCGCATCTTTGGACTACCTTCAAACTTTTGACATATAAGCAAAGATGGATGATGGCTAGCAGTGGAATCCAGGACTCGCGTTTCATCCTATTTGGGACTCCATCCATCTTTGCTTATAATGCTTGTGATTTAAGGCAATATCGAAGCACAGCATGCACATATGTCAATAAGAGACTGATCATTTTGCAGTCCTAAACATCAATGGGAAGATTCAAACAAACAATACAAAATGAACTTTTGACGTATAATTTCCATTTAAACATTAAGAACACGAAGTTCAGCGATAGGATCTCTTTTCGACGAATTTATTGTCAAGTTGTACAATCGTATTGATATATATATAAAGTTTTGTTAAATTATTAGTTTCGTAAGCACATGAACAAGGAATAAATATGATATAACAGGAAGATTATAATGCTGGATTACGTAATATAGATAATAACAATAAAAGACTGTGTGTGTGCAAATTAAAAGTGTCTTGTGAAATTATTAAGTTAGCAACAAATTATAATGTGGATGACGTATGATAATTAGAATATTTTCGTTCTGGCCTCAACTGTTGGATGACAAGAGCTTCTACTCTTTTAAGGAGTTGAATACGAAGAAATCTAGATAGATTTGAATGAACTGTATAAACAACCTTGAAATCAACTTATGGATTAGTAGAGTGATTACAGCCGATTACATGTTCGTGATTGGAACTTCTAAATGCTTTCCTCTCACCCTTGTAGAACTACACTGGGACATGTTCTTGAATGCAAGCACTGGCTACTCCATATGTACCTTGCTCCACTCTCCAATACCTTCAAACTGCCTAACATCAGAATAATAAGTTAAGTTTTCATACTTTGAATTCGTCTTTAACACCACTCAAGCTGACAAGAAAAAGCTGATTATAAAGTCTGTTGTATACACATAAAGTTTGGTGATCATCAGTTTTACAATCACCCCGTTAAGTCTCACGTGTTTCTTTTATTTCCAACCCCTTCTTTCTTTATGCTATACAATTTTTAACCATTCAGAGGTGGCAACACTATACATAATCACTCCACTACTTTGCCATTTTGTTATTATGTCTGGCTACCTTTAATACTTATGGTATGTTTTGCTTGATAAACTTTAAACGTCTACTGAATCATGAATAGGGTTTTCATCGTGATACGTCCATTATTATTGTGTTACAATAACCATGCTGGTGAATTAGACAATGGTGAACTTTTGCACCTATTACATCATAAATGCTTTGAAAAATATTTCTAAATTAGAGAGGTTATTTAGAAAATTGGAGTAGAGAAATTCTATTAATCATGACAAATCATGTGGATAAAATGCATAGTAGAAATAGAAATTTTGTCTTAATAATTCAAATAATCACATGACGTGATTATCTCCATGTGTAATAAGCAAGCTGTTGTCAGAGTGTAATTATGGTGAGCATTTCATGCAAATTATGTATGCTGGGAATGAGGAAGGGCATTTAGATGGAGTTTTGTTCTCTGAGCTGGATGGTTTGGTTATGGAGCTTTCTTCGTCCTTCTGAACGACATCAACAGCGCAATCTTCGGATAGAAGTGAAGTGTTTGAATTCGAGGAAGGGCATATATAAATATAATTCGGGATCTAGATAAAATGACAGCCTGGCTCAACGTTTTTCTTCAATGTTTTTTTTAAAAATAAATTTATTTTCCATTGCTTGAAGTTAGACATTGACATTGTTATGTACTGACTCAGTTTTAAAGAGGTTGAGTGTTCGCATGTGAAACCGTAGTCCCGGGTTGGATTCCCGCGCGCGGTGCTGTGAATGTTCACTGCTAAGGAGGCCCATATTCGGCCGTCCCGTACTTCCAGGCTTTCATTAGTGGTCAGTTCGTGATTTCATTAATGAAAATTTATTTTTTCTAATTTCTCTCCATTTTTTCTTTGCTAATTATAACTTATTTTCTGATCACTCCACTCTACCATCCTTTACTTCTCTAGAAAGAACATGGGTCAAAATGTAATCGTGAATCGTTTTATCGTTGTTTTGGTGCATGTAAACGTCTTCTACCAAATATTGATGATTTTCGTGAACATTTAACTGAATGTCTTCATGCGCAATCTATTTATTATTCAACATTTGGTCATTTGTACAACAAAGATAAAGCATTCGATTTGTTCAATGTTGATTTATCGCCAATAAATATAGAGAATAATAATAATAATAAGCATACAAATAATGAACTCCAAGAACAGTTAAGTGTAAATAATACTGATCGAATATATTCGAAAAATGTGTATAAAATTAATAACCATAGTATTGGTGATAATAGTAATACTATATTGGGTTGTAAATTATGCTTCTGTGCTTATTGTGGAATTGGTTCACAAAAAAAATCTATGATGAATTCGTCGTCTATAAATTTACTAGATCCAGTATTACCTAGTTTCAAATCCTGTACATCAGATGACGGTAAGATCTGTGTGTGTAATTATATATATGTATGTCATTTGTATTATGATTTTAAATATACTTTCAGTTCATTTTTATGCCTTATGTTCTTTCGATTCCTCTGTTTACTCTGTGACTTGACGATTATTATATATTTGAAAGTAGGTGGACGTTAAAACATGATACAAGTTAATTTTATAACCTTTATGTAAAAAGAATACTATAATAAGTGTCACTTAGGCACTTTTTCTAAAATCTAAAATAAGGTATCATAGAGCTTGAGAAAACAAGGTATATCGCTCGATGAATCATTCTCTTTCCCATGTATATTATGTGCTCGAATCCTATTAATAGCCTTTTCCTTACCTTGCTACACCTTGATTCGGTTTGACTATAAATTTACACTTGTATTCGCTCACACATACGCACACACATTAGCCTCTCTGTTCCAAATTCACTGGATGTGTTTGTAACTTTGTTATGTGTGCTATCCATTAATAAACTGTAATCGCCCTTCTTATTGCCTTCTGAATTCAAACGCCGTTGAGGACCAATCCTCTACAGTTATAACATAATAATACTCCATCAATATTGTGAAAAAAATGTAAACTAGACAGTAACCCATATGTACGCAATAGCTGCTTAGTGGATATAACACTTTGAAGTATAAAGCAATAACTACTTCGTTAGAACTTTAATGTATGCATCAAATAGTGGACTGGAATTAAATCTAGTTGACCTAGTCTCATGTAGTATGAAATACGCGTCAATGATTCCATTCCTAACCATAATCTTTAAATCAATGTAGTGAAAATGGCTAATTAATGCTTGAATACATGATGACATGATTATTACTATTTTTCCATATAGCAGACCACCATTGATTGAACTTACCACTTCAATACAAAAACTAGAATAGTACTTTTGGTAAAAGTGTAATATACCGACGCTCTTGAGTTAACTAATTGGAGTCAAGATGCGCCACATGTATTTTTTGAGCGAAGTTTGAAGTAAAGTGATAGATAACGTGCGTTATTATTAACCAAGTAAAAATCGGGAATATTTGGTTTTTAAAATGTTTGAAATCAATGAAAACATCTGTTATGTAATCAGAAAGTGAATTTTAAGTAGTTCATGAACTACATTTCGAATCATACTTGCTCTGAAGGCAGATTGTGTGTTAAAGTACCAGATGTTCTTTATTGTAAAAAGAAGGTTGACAAAGCATTGAGTTATAGCTGATATCAGTTGGTGACGAAAACTTAACAGGAGTGATAACCCTAACTCACAACACTAGTCAGACTCCTTGTATGTATATTTATATGTGAACTCCCACTTTTTCATAATTGTTACGACCATCCCTTCCCTAGCTTTCACATAATTGAAACCTGTTTTAAGATCAAGTAAACGAACTTCTGCTTGCAATTATCATCGAAGTTACATTCAACTATCTTAATCACAAGTAGGTAGAGTCCATTCTTCGAGTTTGAAGCTCAATGCGAAAAAAAACACTAACATTTTAATCTCCAAACTACCTCTACAGTACAGCAGCTTACCTAATTTGATTGCTTAATAAATAAGTTGAATGCAATTGATGTTTCACGCTATTGATTCTTTCTTTTCCACAGGTAATTCTATCCCTAATATCAATAACAATAATAATGATGATGATAACAATAATAGCCAATTGAATAATAATGTTAACGTTGTCCTACAATCACAATTTTCAGTAGATAGTGTTAGTACTGATTATTTATCGGAAGATGATCATACTGGATTTGATACAACTAAACAATCAATACAGAACAACACAATTAAACAGCATAATACTAATATCCAACGACATAGTCTTTACACACCACAATATTTTTCTAATTTAATTAATTTACGAATTCATGAGAATAATTGTCATTATTCAAAACGTAATAAATTAATTGCTTGTCCATGGTGTCATGTACGTATGACTTGTACAAAAAAGGATAAATCTCGTACTACCCATATGCATTTATTATCACATCTTCATAAACATTGGTAAGTTTAATTGGTTTGATGGTTTTATTGTATTTCACGTATTTTTTTTCTTCTCGTTTGTTTGTTTGCTTTCAGTTAGAATTATGGAACTCAATAAGATCAATCTGTTAGTCTATTAATACTAGCATGAAATGACTAACTAGTTTCCATTAGATTTCAATGACATCCAACTGAAATCGATTGTTGGTAAACAACCAATAAATTAAACTAATCTCGACAGAATCTCTTCAATTAATTACTCAGTTGTGTTGTAATCATCAGCGTTATTTTATATCGCTTTTCTCCAATGAAATAAATGATAATAACTATGCACAGTTTTTCACTAATTCACTGTCTTCCCGTATTCCCATAATATAATTTGACTTCTGCGAATTTTCGACGCGTATCTCTAAATTATCTGATTGATTGTAGTTGGTTTTTTGCAAATTTTTGTTAAGAGTTGCCTTGAATGTAAACAATTTAGTTAAACTTCTATTATAATGTGTGCTACTGATGTCAACAGATATAGTAGTATGTATCACCAATCTAAAGTGGGATGCCTGGCAGCAGGAGGTTGAGGAAATCGAAAAGAAGAGAGAGGGATTGGTATGGAAACGAAGGAACAACAGAGTTTGAGACAATCGGGAGATATTTTTCAATATTAAAGATTCTCATTGTGAAAATTAGAACAACATATGTAAGCGAACAATTGTTTTCAATTAGATCGTCATCAGGCTTTACTCTAATATACATGAATATTTATATGAAAATGTTAGACCAATCAAGGCTATTTGAGTCAATAATAATCACAATGAAATAGAAATACGTTACCAAGCATAATAATAGTTAGAAGTACAAGTTGATAATGGGAAGACAGGTGTACTGATAGTACTAGTAAGAATAGTAAATTACGATAACAAAAGTCTTATCAATAATTAAACATAAGAATTAAGAGGTCAAACGTGGGTAAATAGACTTACCATGGTGATCACAAAACATTAAAATCATTACGTAATAAGAAGTATGTAAGTAAATAGATAGTGAAGGATACAAACGGAAAGAGGTAGAAAATTACAAACAAACAAAAATGATAACCAAAATAAAAAATTTTTACAAATAATAATAATGTCAATTATTAAGTTATGTCCGGCCATGGAAGGGATAGGGGGGTTACGAATTTCTTCTGTACACATACATTGGGATGGAATGTACGAATTCCTATGGCTTCTGCTATATGAAGTAGACGGGAGCGAACTCTGTTGGGAAACGATGGAGGTATACGATAGATCACTTGAAATGATTTCAATTTATCGACAATATGACCACTATCAATTAGATGTGCCAAGATAGAACTGCGTATTGTTTTTATTTGGCCTTTTGCAAACCATGCTGGTAGATGTTCACTCATTCGTTGGTTAAGTTGCCTAGTAGTACGCCCGATATAGCTATCTCCACAGGAGCAGCTGAACTTATAAATGCACATGGAGGAGGCCAACTCAGGTAACTTATCCTTCGTTTGAGTAGACATCACTGGTCGACTCGAGAAAGTCAATGCAAGATAGGCTGCGTAGAAAGTTCTACTAATTACTTTTGTTAACCTATCTTTCAGAGTTTCACTAGCTACATCCCCGTTGAATGGTAATTTCATGTATAGAGGCTTCTTACGAACAGTTAAAATCTCCCATTTCTTCCTTGTATCATACATGTACTTTTTGATGAACGCAGCAGGGTAGCCGATCTCAGTCAGTGAGTTATAGATAAATTCCAGTTCCTGACTTAAAGTATCAACAGAATTGACATTATTATTATTTGTAAAAAATTTTTATTTTGGTTATCATTTTTTGTTTGTTTGTAATTTTCTACCTCTTTCCGTTTGTATCCTTCACTATCTATTTACTTACATACTTCTTATTACGTAATGATTTTAATGTTTTGTGATCACCATGGTAAGTCTATTTACCCACGTTTGACCTCTTAATTCTTATGTTTAATTATTGATAAGACTTTTGTTATCGTAATTTACTATTCTTACTAGTACTATCAGTACACCTGTCTTCCCATTATCAACTTGTACTTCTAACTATTATTATGCTTGGTAACGTATTTCTATTTCATTGTGATTATTATTGACTCAAATAGCCTTGATTGGTCTAACATTTTTATATAAATATTCATGTATATTAGATATTTTTCAAATGAAGTATTTACTGTATGGTTCTCAGATTTAACTAAGATATTCTGTGTAGTGTATTAAAATACACTTGAATGTCTCACTTGTGTTCTCGTTCACCACACCATGTGTACCATAAACTATGCTGATATGTTATTTTGTAATTGACATATTGGGTTTGGATCCCGTAAGGAACGCCAACTCTGCGATTCAGGTGCATCCAGCCGACCAGTCCCAAATAGGACTAAACTCACATCCTGCATTCCACTGCTAGTCACATGCCATCTGTATTGTATCAACTTTTGTCATAATGGTTATATCCAAGCAATTCGCATATACACTAACCAAGACTGGTCAAATTTCAATAAGAAATATCAACATCGGAACAATCCAAATGATTTCAAATTGAATTCAAGTATTTAGACAAAGTTATGTTAACAGAATATTAATTCCGAAATTATTTTCCATGATATGTCAATTCTCACTTTAATCAAATCATGTGATCGAACTTAGTCGGTTGCTTAATGGGCTCTGATGACATTGTATTGTATTTTCAGCATTTTTGTCTACTCAGAATATAGTCATTGTTTGCTTTTATTCGCTCTCTCTCACCCATATACACCTATTCCTATTTTTTCTGTTTATTTGTCCTCCCTTAAGTATGGCCACTTGGTGTCTTGAACGTATGCGTAAGTGGAATGAGAATGCTAAAGGTTAGTTTTTGTGTACTTTTCTGACAACCATTGTTGTATCTCAATTATTATACTTCAATATATTTTATGTGAACAATGAAAGTGACATACTTTCTTGATGATAAAAACAAGAGGTACGAGAATTATTAAAGTGGATGAACTACACAGTCTACAGTGTGTAAGCCTCCAAATGCCCTGGTACGACCGAGAGTGGGTAGAGTCCGCTCTCCCTCTCCAAACGCTCTCACATGGCCACACGTATATAGCGTCTGTCAAGGAAGTCCTACTCACTGCCTTATCGTGGCGTTACTGTTGTTCACAAAAGTGAGAGGACGAAAAGCGAATAGCCGGAGCTTTAACCGGGTTGGTGGACACGGAAAGTCCACCTACGGGAGTTGGTAAACCCTCATTCCAAACCAATAGTGCACATGGGCTTGCTCCAGTATTCCGAGGGAACAAATGGCGTATGAATCAATCGTCACTGGCTACCATGGGACTGCATCTCCTCACAATGCTCCACTGCCTTGTGGATCAGACCCTTAGGTTAAAGGCTGCGGGTGTGGCCCCCTAAGAAAACTACTTGCTTCAGTTTGGGCACCTGGGTAGTATCATAGCCCTCACACAAGTCGAATGAGATCTGTGTGACGCATATATATCTGGTGCACCTTTGTACCGATATTTATATGTTTAAATAAAAATAAATAATTAGCAGTGTGTGAACAACATATCTTTGACTTATATGCCTATTGTGTGCGATTCCGTGAATATTGACTGATGAATTAAAGTTTAATCATCTATAATCATATAATTGTATCATATTGTTGTCAGCAGTTTAGTTGTTACGATGTACACTTTCTAAAATATGCCAAATCATTATGCAAATGAGAAGACAGAGATGGTGAAGAAGATTTGTAGCTCGGGTGAATGATTTAAGTGAAGTTTTGTTTTCCGATCTGGATTTATTGGTCATGGAGCTTTTGTTGTTCTTCTAAACAACATTATCAGCACACGCTTCAGATAGAAGTTGACTTCACTGAAGAAGACTGAGATTAATAGGACTTTGGTGTAGGCTCATAATTAACTTTCTACAATAGTATGGTCTCGTTCATAATTTCTCATCTATCCCATAACCTTGAGACGGCATGTATACTGTGTTTAACGTTTTTCCCTGTATATTTTGTATGATAATGTAAACTCGTGCAATGTTTATTATACTCTGTTTTGTTGTTAAGTTCTGCCAAATTGTGTATGTGGATTGGCTTTGCTCGATTCTCCACAGGCTATTTTATCACATGCCGGAGTTCACTTATTATATACAAACAAATACAAATCTTCCAATAATATTCCAGATTCATTACATCATCGTTCATATAAACGTTCATTGTCTTCATCATCGTCGTCATCAGCATCATTAAAATCCCAATTAAATTCTTCTGAAGAATTTTTATTCCCCAAACCTAGTGATCATATTCCTTGTCCTATAAAAATCTATCGACATGTAAGTTATATAAACCTGTTTTAATGCATTACTTTGTCAATCAATTGTAAATATTGAACATCATGAGATCATTTTGTCATATTTTACACATTGAAAGATTGTTTCTATACTAAATGATATTTCATTATCTAATCAAACATTATACTAAGTGAGAGAAGTACAACCATACATTGCATTACCATTTTCCGTTCATAATCCTTATTATTTTGAAAGATATGGAGTTTATTCTTTGTTAACATGTAAAATAAATGAAATGTAGCTAGCAATCGAATCCAGGACGCTTGTTTCACAACTTTCGGGTCTGGGTGGTTGTATGTACTTGGATCTTAGAGTTGATATTCGCTCCGAGATTTGAACACAGTACCATTCTCTGCAAACTCTTTTGTGTTATCCACTTACCCACTGAGTCTAAATATCCACCCACTTGTGCAACGTCAATGAGTTTTATATCAATTTGAAATGGCTTGAATTATTTCATTGTTGATATTCTGACTGAAATTTGATCCAACTAACGTGTCCCTTGTTATACTTTGCTGACATAGTTTAATATTTTAAAGATGTGAACCTTGGCACTATTAGTTGAAATCATGAAAAACAAATATAAATTTCATATCAGTTTGTTATCTTAACGGCATGCAACAAAATATATCTCGTTCAAATTCGATTTTCACTTTTAGACGCCACAGTTTCTAGTAATTTACCTCATGTAAACTTATTATAAGTTTTACTTCAGTCAATGTATATTGCCAAAGCAGCTTGGAAATCACTTGACATTCTAGGTGCACGCATATATAAAAGTATATATAGTTAATTATTTCTGCTTAGAAATACTGTAGTGCCGTGCTTCGATAATAGTTCACTTCGATAACCGTTATTATACCAATCTTAACGGTGTATAAAATGAGAAGGCATAAGAAAGCGGCAACTACATTTTTATTGATAAATGATGCAGACTAGAAAGTTGTAAGCACAAGAGCAAATGTAAGCGAGCGAAGCAAAGATGATGCATAGTGGAGATGGCTGGGAAGCCAACTCGATTTAAGCAAGCATTAATCAATATTTAAAGTCGGACAAAAATGAATGACAGACATATGATGAATAAGATACGAAGTGTACACATATATGCTCATATAAAAGTATAGTCAAGGTTAATAAGCGAATAATTGACAAGATCAAAATATGACTCATAATGGATAGGCGAATTGGCTTGGCCAGCAACTGGAATAAAGTATATGGGCTTAACATATAAACTGATTCTACAATACCAACACTAATCGTTGGAAAATAAGCAAAAGTCTACAATTATCCAAATTATATTAGTGCTAGTCAAGGCTTTTTAATAAATTTGCAAAACTGATAAATTCTTTTAATTCAGATAATGAACCGATCATTGTTAGACCATCGTTGAAAAACTGGAAGCACTGAACGGCCATTTCTTCCCAATATGGGACTCCACAAACCCCTATTCGGATAATATTCATCACGTGCTCACTAGTGACTGGCTTCAAGATAGATTTCCTGGAGTTCTTGTGAGAAGATCATGGATCGATTCAAGCTAGACATGCCAGCTCAGTAATCCGGAGGTTAAGTGTTCGCGCACGCGACCGAGGGTCCGGGGTTCGAGTCCCTTTGTGCAGGGTTGTGGCTGCGCACTTTTGAGGAGTGCCATACTAGAACGAAACGGCTGTCCAGTGCTTCTAGGTTTCCAATGGTGGTCTAGCTTAGATCGACTCACAAAATCAACTAATAAAATTAATACAATCTCCACAAATCCCCAAAATTGGTAATTGGTCATTTATCGGTATAATGACATAGCCCTGAGTGTATTGTCCCGCATATCGTAAATAAACTGATGGTCACACATTGTTCTACTATGATTCCACGTCATCTGGTAGTCTTTTTTTATTGTAGAAAAAAACTAACCGAAAGCTGATGTATCCAGTCTCAAACCTTGTGAATTTCATTCTTTATTCACATTACGTTTTTGTTGTTGTAACACATTAATGTGTATACATTGATACGACAACATATTATTATCGTTACCCGTTGTGTTGGCACTCTTCAAATTTCTTTTTTTATTAATTAATAAATGAAAAAATAAATCAGGCGTGAAATAATCAGTGAATGCGGTCAAAAGTGCAATCATGTGAAAAACTAACAAGGATACGACTAGTACCACTACTACACTATGCATAATATTTTATTATGTGTTAAATATGCATTAATTAATTAATTAAATTACCATAATATGTATAGTTGGAATATTGTAGTCAATTTTCTTATTTACTTATATATAGGTGGATAGTTTACATATGTGTTTATAATTAGTTGTGTTATTAGCTACGGTTATCGTTGTTGTTAGTGACGATCATGATGATCATCGTATTTTCTTCAAAAATCTACTTTTCTATCGGTCATATTATATTATTGTAATATTTCATTGTTTAATGTTAACTATTCATGGAATCACATGAACATGGACTTTTATAATGGACTAATTTTAGTTAAATATCCAATGAAGATCAAGAGACAGTCAGTAGTAGTATTAATAGGTGTTTATTTTGAATTCTAGAAATTCTTAGTAGTTGTGTTGTGTATTCATTACACTACTATCGGATTATAGATTGAATTCAGGAATTTAGAGTGAGGATTTTTTACTAAATGGAATGTAAATTAACAACATTAGTCAAGTTGTAAATCAGTAAATAAATCAACCACCCAATGCTTCCAGGTTTTCAATGGTGATCTAACATTCATCGATTCATGATGTCAATCAAATCTCAACTATCCCCACATTTATTTTATTTATTTAAACACATAAATATTGCTACAAAGGAGCAACAGATATATATGCGCCACACAAATTTCGTTTGATTTGTCTGAGGGCTGTATTACTGCCCGGGTGCCCAGACCGAAGCAGGTGGTTTTCTTAGGGGACCACACCCGGAGCCTTTGATCTAAAGATCCTATCCACAAGGTAGTGGAGCAACGTCAGAAGATCATACGTCATTTGTTTCCTCACGATACTGGAGCTCATGTGCACCATTGGTTTGGAATGAGGGTTTTCCAACTCTCCTAGATGGACGCGCTGTGTCCACTAACCCGGTTAAACAGTCCTCCCAATTTCGTAAACAACACCCCTGGTGCGAGAAGGCAATGAGCAGGATTTCCGTGGCAGTTGTTGTATACGCGTGGTCATATGAGAGTATGTGGAGAGGAAAAGCTGACTTTCCCCACTCTCAGCCGTACTAGGGCATTTGGGGGCAACTACCCTATACTGATTTTTTTTTAAATATACTAATTAGCATTGTTCTCTCTTTTATAATATAATACACATTTGTGACGGATTTGTTTACTAAAAGAAAAAAGAGAAAATATAAAAACAACAAAATGTACACACACACACACGCATACACACTTATAAACAAAGTATTCTTTTACTTTATAGGTCATAAATACTTTTTTTTGTGAAAATCTTCTACATTGTACCGTTTGTTGTTTTGTTTAATAAGTTGAACATTCCATTACTATGTCTGTTCTATTCTCTTCTTAATTAACTCTCAATTTTGTACTAATAAAATCTGGTTTGTTGTTTTCTTCTTACTTTGATGCTTTCGTCAGTCATTTATTTTTTGGTATCTTATGATGATATTTAATTAAGAAATATGTAAAGAAAATACAAAAACTTTTGTTTGGCTTAAATGAACTTATTCATACCCTAATTAAATGAACTAACTGTACATCGTTCTATGTTGATGACAAATATTTTGTTTATCTATCTCTCTGGTTTTTTATTTTTTTTTTTTAAAAAAATAAACAAGGATGCACACACAACGTTAATGTTATGTAAGTAATGCACTATAAGTGCATAATGTCGCATATAATTAACGAGGTATATTATAAATATGTGTACAGGGTGTAAAACGTGTTTATGATAAAAGGCTACGATGAACTGTGAAAAACTCAACACAAAATGCTGTTGTATTTTTATTCAGGAACTTTTTTAGAAAACTTTCTGTTACTGTACCAATAAACTATAGTTTTCTTAATTAATGAATTAATTAAGAAATACCTGTTTTATTTTTTTATTCTGTCACTCAACAACAGAATGAACCAATAAATATTTGAATATTCAGGGATTTGAGAATTTATAAACAGTTGTGAATACAGTGTAAGCAAAGATTGGATAGTTGCTAGCAATGGAATCCAGGACAAGGCGCGTTTCGTCTTATTTGGGGCTCGTCAGCTGGATGTACCTGCATCTCAGAGTTAATGTTCACTTTGGGACTAGGACTCAGTACTTTTCGCTTCAAACACCATCGCGTTATCCACTCAGCTACTGAGTCCTGATAGCTAATTGCTTGTGCAATACAATAAATTCTTGACGTGTGTTATCGACAAGCATTCATTACTTTACTTTAGGCAATATTGGTTGAATATATAAGTCTGGTTTAAGCTATACAACGTTGCTGTGATCACGAATTCACGTTGACATCAATATATCTTGCATGTTATTCTAACTGAATCTAAGAAAAATGGATCATGTTTTATAAAATTTATGATGATGGAATTTCACCTTAACAATGAATACCTGATCAGTTTTTAGTGTTAAAAACGGCTAATATTGGTATGTATCATGCCATATTAACTTACGTAATATAGGGTTAAATTGTACGATTATCATCTATATTATTATAATACTGTCCAAAAGTAGAGTTATATGTGTTTGAATATCAGTTTAACATTTAAAGTACCAGTGTAGACGGATTATGAACACTAACCATTGGACTGATTAAATACAATCCGTATATCTCATATCTTATTGTCTAGAGGTATTCAATATTAAATGGTTGGAAAGAGTCAGTAAGAAACTCCGCTTGACTTAGGTCTCATGCTAGTTGACATTGATCAGCAAGGCGTACCTACAGTCATAAGGAAAGCACAGCTACCTGCCTGTATGACTAAAACCCACTTTACCCAGCTTCATCGTCTGAGTCGTTACTGCTAAGCTATTGAGGCGGCAATTGACCTCCTGTAGGAATGAAATGCTTCCAGTTGATTGATCATGGAGTTGATGACTTAAATTATTTAGATAATTTAGTGATTCGATACATTTAAATAAATGTCATTTGTATCCAACAATTTCCATTTCTTCCACATAAATCTCCTTAAACACTTCATACCTAAATTCAGAGAATCGTGATCCATCAACTTTCATCTAACTATTGGTTTCTTTTAATAAAATGTGAAATTTTATACCCTGATCGGTTGACAATAATATTAGTCGTATTGGTAGTACTTGGTTTGTTGTACATCTCTTGCCTATTTACTTATTATTCCACTTTTCACTATTTTTCTTTTTGCTTTAACAGTTGTATGGAATTCGGATTATGATTTTCAGTGAAGTTTATTTTAAGTTAGCAGATTAAACACTGTTTCCATATTTTTGTTAGTTATCAGTTTTAACTAGTGTTTTGATGATTTCCTCTTTTTTTGTATTGCTTTCTGTTACTTTCTTACATTATTCTGGCTTGATAGCTGACTCCAGGGCTTGATTATTGAGTTTTGTAGATGGGTGGATCATTCATGGTTCAAAAATATTTTCTGTATAATTTTATGTGGGTTTATGGTTATTTGTACATTCTGAAATGTTCATAAAAGGTTTACACTTTTCAAGGTTACGGGTTTCCTTTTAAATATTAACACGTATTATTAATTGCACCATACATTATTTATCTAATCGAGTGATCAGTAGATCAACAGTAGTAATATATTGTAGTTGAAGGATTGGTTTATTTTGTAGGTTGTATTCATCACAGATTAATCTCAGTAAGAGAACTATTGAAAGCCAGCGGACGGTGAACAGGTGTTTCGTCCTGGTTCGAGACTCTTCAATAGTCCGACTCGGTAGCTTCGATGGTCAAGTGTCTATCATGAGACGTAAAGATCCTGGTTCCAGTCACTGACTGAGTTGTGAGTGCACGTTACCACTGAGAAGTTTCATACCAGGACGAAGTAACTGTCCAGTGTTTCCTTACTCTCAATGATACTCCAACTAAGGTCAATCTGTAATGAATAAAACCTTACAATCATTAATAATTACCAAATGTTCCTGGAATTTACTGTTTTTCAGGGACTTTTATTATTTTAATCCAATTCACTGAATATTTTCAAAAATGTTCCTTTGTTCATAATTCTTTCTTGTAGTTACGATTCGGTGTTTCCGCAAAATTCGATGCCCATCTTTCCGAGTTTACTCATCGAAGTTCATATTTCACATGTCCTGTGTGTATGACTAAGCTAAGTACTCGTTGGGCTTTAACACAACATGCTTTTTCTGAGCATTGGGTAAGTGAAGTGTGTTATACGTATTTTTTAGCAATTGTTTACTTGTAATAGAAATTAAGGTCGCAAAGAGTTGTTTGGTTTTATTTTTAACTGTAAATGAGGATGAGAAATTAATTGGTTCGGTAGTGAATCTTCAACAACTGAGGTAGTTGGCAAGTGTATCATGTAGATTCAATCACCGCCCAACTCGTTGGGCGATATCGGATGGTATCAGAGTAAATTAGGAAGTTGCTCTGGGTAACCAAATCAAAACTTGGCATCATTTCATGAAGTTATTGACTGCTGGTCTAAGCCGTATGCGTAGATGCAGATTACCTGGTTGTGAGGTCCGCAAGACTTTCGTAACCATTTGTTAGAGCCTGGGTGACATCTCAGAATCATCCACAATGGCGCAGGCGCACTCATTCTTTTTTTCTTGGTTCGTAAATTGCGAAATCCTATATTACCTTTTCGTTTTCTTTCCTCCTGGTACTGTTGGAACTATGATATCAATGTTGATAAATTTATCTTGACATCTTAATATGATGTGCCAACTTGAACTGCCACACAAATGTGTCAGATTCTACGTTGTATGTGACTGAAACAGCATGTGACAAATAAGTGATTTTTAACCCTGCTATTAATTTGGTACTTGTTCTTCTTATTAGTTGTGACCTTTCCACTTCTGTACGTTTTTATATATGTGCTTGCATCTATGTCTGTGTACACCTTACTTATTGTACTGTATGTAAAAGGATTCAAACTAAATTACACATTCATCAATAGATTTGGCGGGTAATGTCAATATCCAAGCTACACACATTCATTTTCTCGTTTCGGATTTGTCTGTCGATGTGCATCCTTAAAATGCATTCTTATATTGCTCTATTATTACAGTGAAGTCTGATGATCTCTGGTTTAAAACAATATTTTCGGCTTATTCATTGTGTTAATGTAAAACCTTAAGGAATTTTTTTTCTTGAATGAACTAATCTTCCTATTTAATGCTTTCTTTTATATGTTTTTCTCTCTATTTTCCCAGGGTACACTTTGTTATATTTGTTGTGTTTATATTTTTAAACCGACTGAAGGAAATTCTTCAGTAGAGAGCAATAATCATAATATAAACACTACAAATATATGTACTATATCCTCGTCGTCCTCCTGTCCGTCATCGTCATCATCATCAACTGCGAGATCAGTAGCAACATTTGACAAGAGAAATCATAACGACAAATCAAAATCGGATTTATCTACTACAACATTATGGGACCATATATTTGTTTGTATGAATGAACGTCTTGAATTGTTAACCACTCGTCATCACAATACATCAACATCATCATCATTAATAAGAACAAGCAATGATCAAAACAATGCTGATTGTTCATTAGCAGAGGTTCAATCAAATTTTGAGAAAGAAAATAATGGTAATTATTTTTATCGTAATGTAGTAACTGTATACTTTACTAATGGACTAATCATCATTGAAGTAACGACTGTCAGATGTTTCTTGTGCAAAATCTAAATCGCGATGATAGATAGTTTATACCCTATTAAAACGTAACAATATTTGTATATTAACGCACTTCGAAGTGATAAAATGAAAAGGTCAAAACATAGGGACCATGATGCATAATTCTTCGAAGGTAAATCAGGGACTCTTCGTATTTGAAATTAAAGGGCTGATCAGACAAACAGTTGTTTATTTATAGCTACAAGGCATTCTTGATGTATTCCTACTAATCTAGTCATTACTCCTAACTCTCTTAGTCAGTACTTCATCTTCTAACTGTGAATCTTGATCTCAATTTAAACTGGAAGACTAATTCGATTCCCTATTCAAGGTCATGGATGCGCACTGATGAAGAGTCTCATTCTAGAACGAATCAAACGTCTAGTGCTTCCATACTTCCGATAATGGTTTAATATTGATCGGCTCATGACTTCAATGATATTCACTACTGCTTATTGATCAGTGCTGAATTTTCGCCTTTTTTATTTTATCAACTCTGACATTGTTACTTGATAACGATTATGTAAACTTAATCGATTACTTTTTCGGAGTCATCAGCCACATCTTATTGGTTTTGTTGGTGGATTGTTCTACGTTATCATCATCATCCAGTGATTGTGAGAATTCAGTGCTAACATGTGTTTCATTCATAAACGACTAAAGTGATTCACTGATAAGTTCATTATTACTGTGCATAGTTTGTATATAAGTTTGAGTTTACTTTTTTATATTTCTTTCCCATTAATTGATTTTTTCAAACTGCATGCTTTATGTTTAGTCCGTTTTATGTATCATTCATCTCCATAATTTGTGCTGATGTAGATTTGCTTTAAAGTAAATAGAACAAATCAGTGGATTAACGTTGTTGAGATTTATGTGTTACATATGTCTACCCATGTATATAGTATTAGTGTTTATTGACATTGAGATTCGGAAAAAATAGCTAGGACCATACAAATCAAGACATAATATTTAATTAGAAAGTCATTGACTGCTAATCTAGACAATTTCGATAGCTAGAGAATACAGTCTAGGACCCGTGGACACTGATTTATCGTAATCAATCCTGAGAGATATTGAATGAAATCGGTCACATTATCTAATGTTACATACATTTTTGGTGTTTCTCTAAATTTTGAATTATATGTCTATAACTTGATATCCTAACATATGAGATCACCGAATTCGAGTAAGAATCAAATACTCATTTGTATATTCTATACTGAGGTATTATTATTATTATTATTAAACTTCTCAAACTTTCATGGTACACAGTGAACTAATCACTAAACATATCTAGTTTATTATTTGTAATCTTATAGGATAAATTAAGCGGTTAGACTAATCCACAAGGGATTTTGGACGGGTTTTTTTTTTCTTTTCCTTTGTTCAAAAAGACTCTATAAAGTAGTAATAGTTTTCAATGAATCTGTATGCATGTATATCATTCATTAATTTATGTTACATTATAATATATTTCAAATTACTTCATTTTTAATCCATTATATTTTGTGTTATATTTACAGATCTATCAATACTTCATAATGTATCTAATACTCCAATTATTATTGACAGTTCACCAGAAAATTATGATCATGGTAAATTAGTTTGTTCACAACAAACAAATTGCAATTCATATTATGAAATTGTTAATACTTCTTTATCAACTATCAATCCTAATATCATTACTACTTCAACTATAATGTTTAATAATCCTTCTATTGATAATTATGTTAATTCTATTAATTCATCAATTACAACTGCAATATCTTCATTTATACCATCTACTAATAATTTAGACAAATATGTACATAAAATTTTCAATAATAAATTATTAAAAACAAAAAATACTAATCGTAAACATTCACTTCAATTAAATAATAATAATTATGATTATATTAGTGACGATGATGATAATCGTAATGATGATCGTAATTATGTTGGAAAAGAGAATGGTTTTAATGATTATATTATAAATAATTATAATGATAAAATAATTGAATCAAAATCATCAGAATTAAATACTTTATCACAATTCATACCTAATATATCTAAAAAACGACGTCGTATCTCAAATAATTTAAATAATCATACAAGGAACAATGATGTTTGGCATAATGAAATAGTAAAAAATAATCTGATTACTTGTACTGATAGTAGCGTTCCTACTACTAATCACAACATTATCACAAGTAGTAGTAGTAGTAGTATGAATCGTTCTACGATTTCTGGTAATTATTTACAAAATTCTGATTTAGATGAACAAGAATGCTCAACCATTTGTCTTGTTGAAGACGTTAATACAGAAAAGTAGGTTTTTTTTTTTTTGGTTATAAATATACTGGTTTATATTTATTTTTACAGCCTAATAGCTGTCAAGTATGGGTCGGTGTATATGTCATTCAAGTCGTAATAGGTAGGTGGGTGGGTTTTACTTAGGAAATCATCCTCAAACTCCCATGAATTAACTTTCAGTATTCACTAGTTGGGTTTAGTCTTAAGGGTTATACTTAGTTTTTTAAATAAATAAAAGCTCTTATTCTTTAGTAATATATTTGTCCAGTTAGCCACTAATATGGTTTAGCTAAAAGTTATTCGATAAAAATATGATTATAGCTAGAATTCGATAGGAAAATTGTCCATTTAGTTATACTAATACTTCTTGTTAATTTATACGCCTAAAAGCATCGACATGCTTAAGGATGTGGAGTTTCCTTATTCTGGAAGTGCTCTTATATAGTCCCATATGTTTATTTCAGGACAGTCCTACTCACTGGCTTCATATGGCGGTCTTTTTTTAAAAGAAAGATTGAATAACTCAACGAACCAATTGTCTATTCGTGAATGCACATAACTTTCAAATTAATAAATCACATCTACGAACTTTATTCCATCTACTTCGATTTGGACAGCCAGTGAGTAATGTCTCCAGTTGTTGCCTGGGGATTCACATAAATTCAATATTATTCTATCAGATGGTATAAAATATTGTTTAAGTTAAAATAGAAAACATGGTTAATATCTCAAGTGCCTTCGTGTTTGGTTGGTATATAAACTCAGTATGTTTGAAATACAATGACTCATACCACTGAGGCTGTTATTGGTGTTTTGGACTTAACTGGCTGGGCTAGGCAGATCCCAGGACCGGTAAGCACCCTAGTTTGCTCCTACGGGTTTCGTGTCACTATTCCAATCGACAATTCGCAGCTCTCTAATTGGCGGTCTCATCAAGTCACACATTAGCAAGTCATCCACTCGGCCACAAGATATAACACTTCGTCACAAAAAATTATACTGATACATTAGACCAATCAGGAATTGGTTAAATAATAATTGCGCGGGATTGGTCAGGAAACGGCTTAAATTTCCCAGGAATTGAGACACTACTGGTACCTTACTCTGATGAGTATGCATACATGACAATTCGGTTTCGGTCTTTTCAGTAAAGTAGTCGGTTAGGCTCGTGTACAAGAAGATTGCTTATTGGTATGGAGTCACGGTATATTTATTGCTGATGATCAACTCAGTACAAAAAAGTATAACTTCTAAGTGCACTGGCACATTATTATCGAGTTGTATGAATTTAAAAACTAGACTTGAATAAAGAACATTAAAATTATTAGCTCTAGCCTTATCATCAAATTATTAATGTTAAATCGGAATGCGGGCTTGTGGAGATTGTAGTAATTTAAGTAGTTGAATTTATGAATCGATCGAAGCTAGACCACTATTAAAAATCTGGAAGCACTGAACAGCTGTTTCTTCCTGGTATGCGACTTCACAAACCCCGCATTTGGATAACATTCATCACGTGACTGGTTTCAAGATGGATTTCCTGGAGTTCTCGTGAGAAGCCCTGACCAGCAGAGTCCAATCCATATCGGGTGGAGACAGGTATCTTATTTATTTATTTAAACACATATAGGTACATAGGGGCACCAGATACATATGCGCCACACAAATCTCATTTGATTTGTGTGAGGGTTGTGATACTGCTTGAATGCCCAAACCGAAGTAGATGGTTTTCTTAGGGGGCCACACCCTGAGCTTTTGACCAAAAGATCTGATTCACAAGGCAATAGAGCATCGTGAGGAGATGCAGTCCCATGGTAGCCGGTGACCAACGATTGGTTCGTACGCCATTTGTTCCCTCAGCGCACTGGAGCCCATGTGCACCATTGGTTTGGAATCACGATTTTTTTTTTCAACTCCCCCCCTAGGTGAACTTTTCATATCCAAGCGCCGGACATTTGCTTTTCGTTCTCTCAATTTCGTAAACTACACCAGTGCCACGAGAAGACAGTGAGTAGGACTTCCTTGACAGAGGCTATATACGCGTGGTCATGTGAGAGCATTTGAGGAGGGAGAGCGGACTTTCCCCACTCTCAGCAGCACCAGGGCATTTGGGGGCAAATAGGAATAATTACGGGGCGGACTTGCATACATATAGCAAGCATTTCAGCGGGTTGGTGGATGTGGAGGATCCACCTAGGGGAGTTGGAAAACCCTGATTCCAAACCAATGGTGCACATGGGCTCCAGTATCCTGAAGGAACAAATGGCGTATGAACCAACTGTTGGTCACCAGCTACCATGGGACTGCATCTCCTCACAATGCTCCACTGCCTTTTTGGATTAGACCTTTAGATCAAAGGCTCCGGGTGTGGCCCCCTAAGAAAACCACCTGCTTCGGTCTGGGCACCCAGGCAGTATCACAGCCCTCACACAAATCGAATGAGATTTGTGAGGCGCATATTTATCTGGTGCTTCCTTGTACCAATATTTGTGTTTAAATAAATAAATAAGCAAACAGTTCTCTTTGAACCTATCACACAGCAATACTGTCATGCACTGCTTCATCGCCCTTGGCAGATCCGGCAACCCGAAAGTCACGATAACACCATCAGGGCATACGACAGGTGTCTAACTGAAACAATGGATGAAAGGTTGCACAAGATCATAGGTCGATTAATAATGTTAGAGTTTATAATCACACTGTTTGTGTATTTTCATAAAACACATTTTGCCAACTACACTTTGAAAAATTCTTTGTTATAGACAAATAACCAATATAGATAACTATTATCAGTTTGAACAGTTATAATGTGCTACACAAAATCATAATGGGTAGTTATTATTTACCAGTTATAATTTTATTAATGTTTATACCTGTGAATAACAACATGACTTATTACCATTATTATTATTTTCCGAAATGTTTTAACTTCCCATAGAATTTGTGTAATTTGCGGTAAAAAACAAACAGCTGATACATGGGAAGAGCATTGTCTATCCCATCGAAATCCTAAAATGGCATGGGACGGTGTACGAATCTCTCAACCAAATCGACCAGCTTTCTGTGAATCAAAATCTACTAAAGTCTATAGGTAAGTTGTGATTTTCTCTATACCCATAGGTTTTTTTTCAATAATTCTATATGAGGTTTCATTATGTATATTTCATTATTAAGTTTCAACATCATCTTGGTAATATAATGCTGTATAGCCTTTTACTTCCTGTTCACTGTAGAAACTTCAAATGTATAACTGACAAAGATGGTTATTTTGCAGGACCAATTTTAATTAGCTTTGACTAATTCTACTTTATAAGGAACAAGAAAGCTTAAAAGGATTTTTGTTATTTTATAAACACTGTAACAACCAGCAATATAAATCAGTCAGATGGGATTACGTCTAGGTCAGGTAATGTCAATGCTACAACTGGATTATAACCTTTAACGACCTCTCAGGTTAATCCATCAGGCTTTACTCTACCCCTTAGTTTTGAATTAGCTGTGAGTTTTTCTTTTCTACTTCATTAATAGTAGAAAGACTGATGTTGCTACTCTGACATTCTCACTGATAATTCTATATCTATGAGCTGATGGAGTGTGACAACTCGAACTAATGCTCGCATCTGCTGAGATAACCGGGTAAGTAATAGTGAGGTTAGACGCAGGGTATTAGGGAACGATGGTAAATCAGTTGATGAGGTGATGAATCTTCATCGACTGAGATGGTTGGGCCATGTGTTACGTATGCCTGAACACCGATTACCACGACGCGCTATGATGACTAGTGTAGGGGATGGTTGGAAGAGAGTTAAGAGCGGCCAAACCAAAACATGGCATCAGTGTTTGAAGTCACTAACTTCTAGTCTGATCCATGTTGGCAGATGCAGACTACCTGGTTGGGGTCCGCGTGACTATCGTAACCAATGGTTGGCGACTGTAGGTGACATGGCTCAGAATCGATCACAATGGCTTAGGTGTATACACTCTTTATCTTCCCTTAAACCTTGATACTAAAATTGCTTCATATCTCTCTTCCTTCCTGTACTATATCCTTATATACAACCTATAATTTATATACTACTACCACCACTAAATTAATTACTTCTATGAATCCAGTGTTCATCTTGTTGTGCTAACGAGGTATGGCAACTTGGACCGATGCATCTATGTGCCTGGTCCTACTTTGTAGCTGACTGTCTGACTGACTCGAACTAATCCATATGAGTTTGAATTATCTTCTGTATTTTAATCTTCTTGGTTAACTCTTGATCAATCCTCATGTACATGTAGTATCCTGTGCAGATCACCTCGATACAATCATTTCATCATAATTTTTCTATAGAGTAGATAGATTATGGTTATCAGTGCGATCCAGAATAGACGTCTCGTCCTATTCTACATCAACTTGAAACAAAATGACCATATCAATGTGATCTGCACAATATCTAGGTATGCCAATAAAAAGATGGTCAAAATTCAGTCGAAAAATATATCAAAAACAGGATAATTAAAAGTCTATGCGAATCTAACCTCTATTATACAATCTAGTGCCTATTTAAACTCAATAGCTCAATAAATATTGTAGTGAATGGTTCGAAGTGGAAGGTACATTGTGTCCATGTTCGCTTGTGAACATCAGTACTTCAAATATCGCAAGTACATCTAATTGATAATTTACAAAGTATGGATAAACCTAGCTTCTTAAATCTCACTGTTAACCATAATCAATTTACTTGTATTGTTTGTTTGCTTCTGTATAATCATTACTCTTTACGTTTTATTATCATACTTCAGGTGCTACATTTGTTATAGACGATTTACTATTCGATTTTCATGTTTTCGTCATATGATCACTGTGCATCGTTTAAAAAAGTCACAGTTAGATACAAATCTTTTAACTGAATTATTTAGTCGTAAGTTTAACTTTTATTATCTTATTACTGTCATTTTATTAGAATGTTTAGAACGGTTGTTTTAAGATCTTGTTGATGAGTCCTAAATAGGACGAAACATGCATCCTGGATTTCACTGCTGTCTTTGCGTATATTTCATTCACTGTTTACAATCATTGATCATGTCCATCTGTTATGAGTTTATAAAAATAATATAGGACGTTTGCTAATTTGTTATTGATTTTATGTCCGGCTTTTTAGCACGTGAATTATCCACTAATCGAAATACGACTTTTCTAATCTTAACACTGTGCCAAATCAATGACGTTCAACTGGTATGAGCAGTCTAGAGTACTTATTAGTCCCTTGTCCGCCTAGTCCTTCCAATTGAGTTCTGAACACAGCTTCTGTTATGCGAATCATTTATTTCAAGCATATTCGGTTTATATACCAGACAGGCAGACCAAATCACACCATAAAATAGAAAATAATATTTGTAGAAGATCAAGCCAAATGTGACTGTGGGCGTGAGATACAATAATCAATAAATTGAATATAATTTAGGGATAGTAATTCATGTAATAATAATTCATTGGTCAAAATGAAGCTTATAATAAGATGAATATAGATATACACAATCTAATTACTCAATAGTTAAACAATAAGAATATACATAGAATAATCGTCCATTAATAGATCCCAGAAATTACCTGTACTTATGTCTTCGCTGGGATATAACACTATCGATTGTATTTGAACCTAACAAATCATGAAATCATTCATCAGTTAGAGGATAATATACTTGACTTCCAGTCAAGAGCATGGTTCAAATCTGCTACTTCATGACTAAAATTCCAAACTCTCTAACCAATGAAATACTGTGTCGGCGGTGCATATGGTGAATGCACCAACGTATTGTTAAGATCTACTTCATTTTCAAATATTTTTTTATTTTTTCAAGACTAATCATTTATTTAATAATGATCATTGATTATTTGTGTTTTCTTTTACTCCATTTAGCAAATTCAACACAAAAAAGTTTTCCTGAATTAAATAAATTAAGTTCAGAATTGGGAAATTGTTCACTTAATTTATCAGCTAACATAGACGATATTAAGAATCATATTTCATTGAAGAAAACTGCTAATATCACTGGCAGTACTAGTAATAGTAGTAGTAGTAGTACCACTACCACTACTACTTCTACACTGAGAGATCATTCAATTCATAATAATAATCATAATAATAAAGCGACTACTTGTAATAATAGAACGAATCAAAATAAATCAGTAATAAGTAGTATATCAAAATCGAAATTTTATTGTTCTATATGTCATATATCATTTATATCTAATGAAAGTTTATCCAGACATTGTATATCAGCGCATGGAAAACAACAACATCAACAGAAAGTATAGAATATCTTTCTTTTAGTTTACAATACATCCTATATTATTTTTAACTACATATTTATTAAACATTACACTATACATGTACATAGTTTACATTCATGATTATACATGCATAGATCAAAGATGCATATTTTGTTTTACTCTTTTTTTTAAAAAATATTTTATATTTCGTTTTTTGTTTGCTGCTTTTCTTTTGTTGTTTTCTTTCTTTTTCTCTTTTGAGAAATAGAGGATTTGTACAGATGTAGGGGGGGGTGTAGTTTCTCTTTGTGTTTCTTTGTTGTTCTCATTTCCTTGTAATTATAAGTATTTTCTCTTTTTTCTTCCAAGTTTTACTTCTGTATTATTTTTGTTTTTTTGCATCTGTTCACAGCACACATATCAATAAAACGATACACCGTAAATAAATAATATGTGAAACACATCTAAATATTTGTTGTTCCCCCTTCCCCCCCCTCCACACACACACACACTTTGTTCCATAACATTATTATTTTCTGTGTTTACTTGTTAAGTTAAAAGAGAGAGAAAGACTTGATATTGAAAAAAGTGTAGGGAGGGGAAGGATGAATTCATAGTTACCCTGTTTATCTTTTTTTCTTGAATTGAATTATTTTGTTTATTTATTTATTTATTTCTTTTAACAACTGTACATTTTATTTGAACACAGTTGAACGCTTATGGCGTGTGTATGTGTGTGTGTATTTGTTTGTTTGTTTCTAAGAGAAAAGAAAAATTTTTTATCTTTCATTAAAAACGTAAACAAGATCACTTTCAATTAAATAATTATTATGATAATATTGTTTGTTTTTTTTTCCTTTTGTTTTTAATGGTGAAAAAATGTTAATTAACTTAACAAACAAGTTAGTTTAGAATTATAGGGTGATTATATGGTCTGATGGTGTGAGTTTATAATTTGGTAGAATAAACTTTATAAAACTATTCATATCTACCATTTCTGTTGTTTATTTCATACGAAGTTCAGGAAAGTTAAAATGTGTCTCTGTTTGGGTGATTATATATATATATATATCATTATTTAGTTAGTTAGTTAACACTGTATAGGACATGAAAACGACTATTAGATCCAATTGAATCTCTCCAACTTGTTTATATGAGCATTAAGTGTTAGAATTCATGAGATCATAAGTAGACAGTGGTTCTTACTTGTTAACTAATCAGGTTAAGCGTCCGCTTATCCTGACGATATCAGTTATTGATTAAGTTGTAGTTTATTCAGCCTGCGAACTGTTAATCAATCTAAAGTAAATTTACGAAAAGAAACGACTAGATTGATAAAGATCATCTTGAATATTGATTGTTATTAGGCCAAATGAATCCTTCTCATAGTTTATTCGTTTTCTTCATCCTCGTTCATATTCGGTTACATCTAGTTCATGTTAACAAAACAATCCATAGAATTCATCTTTTTATTACAATGACGAGTAGTAGTAAATCTTTTGTACATATGATGAAATCAAATTCATCTTTGTGATAAGCGTACTAATAAAACTCTTACAATAATTTGTCACTAGACATGACAGAAATTGTAACAAAGGTCTTATTTACAAAAGACCCCATATTGATAAATAAAAATAGATGTTATAGAGCTGAGATCATGAGTCAATTGAAGCTAGACCATCATGTGAAACCTGAAAGCACTGGACGGCCGTTTCATCCTATTGTGGAACTTCTCAGCAGTGCGCATCCATGATCCCGCCTCGTGAGATTTGAACCAATGACCTACCAGTCTCGCGCCAGAGCACTTAACCAATAGACCACTGAGCGGGATCCAAAAATAGATATAGCAATTTATAATTTTCAGCAATATGTTTTATGTCTATCTGAACGAACTTGAAAGCATGATTCAACCTATATTATAGAGATAAATATTTCGACTGTGTTACACACTATCCTGCTGAACCTTTTTCATCAGTTAATCTAGCTGAGATGTATGTTACGCAAACTCATCCACTGCCTACTTCAACATGTAATGATCACTAGAGTTGACTAGATCAAAACAAATCAGTTCATGAATTCTGATAGACCATTGATCTTGGTGACGTCATAAAGTGTAAATTTCCTAGTTGAAGTTAATGAAACAATCAATTGCTTTTAGTGGTCTTACATCAGAAGGCTACGTGTTTGAATCGCGTCGCGCTCAACACTTCAGTGGCCTTATATTTGACTTCAGTTAAATTGTATGATTGTTATTGAAATATAAATGCCGCCAACTATCGTATATTTTTTATCGACTTAACTCACGTTAGAGAATAAAATAAGCCGAATACGATGATAAATCTTGAATACGTATGCTTCTTACATGTTGATTTGAAAAATGAATCGAAGTGAAGAAAGCGGGGCGGACAAGGCGAATGAGCCAACTCGATTTAATCAATTGTGACTTTTGAAAATCAATCAGACACAGGTATTATGATTGTAAAACTGAGTTAGAAGCAGGATTTACATAACGCAAGATATACAAAAAGCATAGCAACTCCCATACATTTTAGTATGTTCACATATAATTTGGTTAAGCCCTTTTATTAACGAAGAGAGACATTCGTACAATAACAAATCATCGATATTATTGGACCTTCATTATCGTTGGGCTTGGATGAACACGTATGCTTGAGCATGGCTCACCGCCTACGTACATATTCATTCTGCTGTCTGTAGTGTTAGCCGCTTAAGTGATTCAATGACTCATTCATCTCCCTATATGTATATATGTACATACACATTTTAATCCTATTGACACTGCTAGCTTGCTCACTCGCTCTCTTGCTTTACGGCATTAGTCTTTCATTCTCGTTTCGTGTGCCTATGGTTTTGGTGATCTGTGTGTGGTGCGATGATAAACGTAATCAACGCTTCGTCTTCTAATTTATACACCATTGAGTGTTATCTAGTAACGGTTATCAGGACGATCTGTATACGAAGTTCAAGAATTATATCGAATACCAAGCACCACGAAGGATTAATATTAGGTGAAGAGTTTATTTACCTTCCAAAAACAGTGCCGAATTATTTATCAAATACACCTCAGTACATCGATTTTACTGGAAATCGATGATTTATCGGCGAAGTAATATACATAGCTGAAATATTAGGAATACGAATGGGTTTTACACTGAATCAGTATAAATGAATGTTATACTGAACAAATATCACAGTGAATAAATTTACTATCCTTCACACGCCTTTTGTATATGAGTGAGTATAAGCAGGTTTCTTGTAAATAGTCAACTTGAAGATTGTTCAATCTCCTTCACCCTTTCTATCTCCTTCACTCAGATTGAAACTTCTATTCCTGATGCAAGTTCGACTATTTCACTACACGTGCTTTCTCATTTCTTTCGGACTCGGTACAATATTGTGTAAAGTAATTCGAATTCTCTTCCCAAATATACTTTCTGTAAAGGATACTTCTTTCAGTGTTGCTGTGTTCGGTGTTTAGTGGTAACTCAACCAGAACCTTTGTACAATTTAATCTGTTGTTCTTTCCTCTTCCCGTTTTTGAATAGCACATTCCAGGGGATCAGCAGAAAAATACTGTTCGACCATTTAATTATTGGTAGTATGTGAACATTTCACATATTCTATATTGCTTTGTCTTTTGATGGAGTTTTGTTCTTTGAGCTGGATGGTTTAGTCGTGGAACTTTCATCGTTCTTCTGAACGACATCATCAGCACAAATTTCAGGTAGAAGTGAATTGTTCGAATTTCTCCACATATGGTTCACAGCTTGTCCTGTAGAGCTCGGTGTTGATTGGTTCTTGTTGACCTTAAACCTGTCATCGTTTACTTCTTTATTTTGGTTGTATTAGCAGTCAGACGCTATGAAATGTCCTCACTTATATCAATGCACGTGGACAACTACGGACACACATTTGACTATAAAAATGTGGACATTTTGGATAGAGGCTATTCCAAAAACACCAAAGAATTTTTAGAAGCTTGGTACTCAGGTTAATCAGCAATAAACAAGCACGTTGAAATCGAACCAATTTATCAACCAATCAGGAAAATTATGCACAAACATAGGACCGAAAATCAAATTAATAGGAGATACAATCAAAACGAAGAAGTAAACAATGACAGATTTAAGGTAAACAAGAAGCAATCAACATCTAGGTGTACAGGACAAGCTGTGAACCACATATGGAGAAATTCGAACACTTCACTTCTACCTTAAGTTTGTGCTGATGTCGTTCAAAAGAACGATGAAAACTCCACGACCAAACCATCCAGCTTAGAGAACAAAACTTTATCAAGATCGTCCACCTGAGCCACAAATCATCACCATTCTTTTGTTTATATAACTTCTCAAACTGTTCGGAAGTAAACGATTCTGTTGCCAGAAAAAGCAGTATATGGTAGTCCAAAACCAGCTCCCCAAGATTTTGAACCATATTGTAATTATCCTTCAAAATCCATGTAGAAGATATGACAAAAGTTCTTTTAGTACTGTCTGTCGTTGGAGTTCTGCTTTAATGAATAGTTTCGATGATTTTACACTTATGTCATTGCCTTTTAATATCTTATATATATTCACTTATAATCAATTGTCATAAATGAGTATAGACTGTATACTTAGCTAGGACTCTCTATCCATCAGCACTCGAAACTTTATAAACTAACAAAAACTAGGATATCTGTCACGATTATTATCTACAAATTGATCTCTGCAACTGAAGTTGCGTTGTGAGTTCTCTCATTACTTAGTATTCTCGGTCACTCACTTCGCTCGACAAATTCTTAAATCAGAACACGGTTGAACAGTAACATAATTATATTCCAAATAAACAAGGTTGAAGAGAAGTAGAAATCACAATAAGAAAAACGCTATTATGTTTATGATTTTACCCAAGATTCTAGAGTATTCCCCAAGTATCCTCTAATTCTGATTGGCTAAGAAATAGCTAATCAGCGTGCTTCAGTGCAATCCTGAACGGAAAATGCTTAATCTAATCTATATCCCGCTAACCAATTGCTTTTATGTAATTCTATTTAAATGTTCTCTTTTAGTGTGATTTCTGTTATCAATGGTTTGTCAGTCGACACTTGAACTAAATTCCATAGCCGTTCAATAAAATTTATTGATTTCTTTACTGAGTTTCACTGGTCACAATGTTTACTGGGTGTTATAATTGATGAAAAATATGGTCACAAAATAAATGCAGGGTGTATAACAAGATAATGCGAGTAGATTGAATGAGATAATGTAAAATGTATGTTTACTAGTTCGTGCGAAAAAAAAAAATTTTGTTATTTATACTACTGTAGTCTAATCTAAGTACGAGTTTGAATGTTAGTCAAACTTGAAAATCAACATATAAAGAACATAGTTGAAATCATGACTCAGGTGAAGCTAGACCAACATGGTAAACATGGAAGCACTGGACGGCCGTTTCGTCCTATTATGGGACTCCTCAGAAGTGCGCATCCATGATCCCGCCTCGCGGGATTCGAACCTATGACCTACCATTCTCGCGTCAGAGCACTTAACCGATAGACCACTGAGACGCACCCAACACTGTTAATGTCTAACCTCAACCCATCCACAAAATTGCGCGTCCAACTTCCATTGTACTGAGGTAGATACCTGTCTCTACCTGACATGGATTAGCACCACTGGTCATGACTTCTCATTGGAATTCCAGGAATTACCTCATGGAACCAGTCACTAGTGAGCATATGATCTCCACAAAACTCCCTTCTGATATAAAGAAGAGACAGGGAACTATTAAAATAATAGAAATTTGTAGCTCAATTAAATTACTTTGATGCTATTTCATCCTATCACCTGTATGGTCCAATTGGAAAGCTTTCATTGTCTAATTTATTTGAAGTGGGTGCTGATGATGTTCTATAGAACAACAAGAAAACCGTCCAGTTCATAGGAAACAGTAGTATTAAATAGAGAACTGTTCAAA